CTTTGTATTCTCTGTATTCATTTTTCCTGGTTTACTTTTCTTGGTCTGGATTTACTGAGTATTTCAAGGTAACAGTCCTGTCCCTGGGCTCCTCTTTTGGTAAGAAGCAAAGTAATTTATGTTAAAATACCTGTAAAAAAAGAGTAACTGGAGACATGAGGGAGGTAGGTGATTAATAGCAGTGTAAAACACATTAATTAAATTAACTTCTCTTGAACTAGATTTCCATCCATTCTTTTGGTTATGTTTCAGTTTCAGAACAGTTTGAAAGGAAAACTGTGCAAGGGTCTATGTGTGCTTGCTGCATTTCTGGCCCAGTTCTCACTACTGTAGGAAATCCCAGAAGAAAACAGTGGAAACTGCAGTATTTACTCTCATGTTATAACACATTTAATTTTTCCTTTTAAATCTCTGAAGAGGCTGTGAAGTTTCAATCATTTTGTACCTTAATCGTTTTTGTTGTTGTTGTTGTTCACCTATCAAGTCATAAATAGTTAAATTTTTAAATACAAGAGGATAATTGCCATGTTTCCACTTGAAATATTGTAGAGCCCCAAGGCCCTTTCTTGGACAAATGTATTTTTCAGCAGCTCATTGTAATTTTGGTTTTGAGTGAAGATCCAACAGAATTAAAATCCACACCCATCTGTAGAGAAAAGTGCATTTTCAGCCATCAACAATAGCTTTATTTGGAAGGATTTTAATGACTCCTTTGCAAAGGGGGAAGATTTCTGCAGTGAGAGGGGCTGTCCTGAGAATCACAGAGTGACTTTGTGTGCTGTCCAAGTTGACAAAGAAGAGCCAATTCTGTGGATGATGATTATGCAAGATGGAAAAGTGCTGATAGACTGTGGAAAAATACAAGTCTGAGCCTAACAGCTTTACAAACCTGTTTGAAAAAGCAGCTTTGAGCAGTAGCAGTGTTGCATTAGGGTGAGCAGAGTGAGGTGGGGAGGCAGGGGAAGGTGCTTGGGGTGCTTGGTTTCATGGAGAGCAGGAGGCAGCATTGTGGGAGTTTTTAAGTGATGGCAGGGGTGAATTTTAAGTGGGTGGTTGTATAATTTTCATACCTAATACACTTCCAAGATGTTAATTTTTTTTTTTTTTTGCAATTTTCAGTAATCAAAGTAAAGTTTCAGGTGATTGATCAAATAAAAGGAAAGCCCAAACACTTCGGGTTATGGTTGAGTAGACTTTTGCTGACATCAGAAATTATTAATTGCACCAGCTAAATTACAAAGATGCTATCTTGGCTCTGGGAGCCAAGAGCACCATAATTAGGGTTGTTAGATGCCCCATTCTGCTTCCTCGCTTTTGACTTTAACCATCAAGGCACTGGATGAAGGTAAAAATGAACTAATTTATGTGAAGGGCTTGGGGTGGTTTCAAGAACAACGTGAAACCAATGTCTGTGTTTGGTGAGGGTCCCCTGGAGGAGCCAGAGCCTTAATCAGAATGTGTGGGTTCATTGCTTTACTTTTTAGCTGTGAATGTTGAGTGGTCATAAAGTGGCTTGTGTTGGCATCTAGTTTACAGAGTTCAGTGAATTCTACCAGCCCTCTCTAGTGCTATTTCAAAGGGCAGCATCAGTAATTGTTTATGTAGTTTTACAAAATTATTTTCAGTTTCTTAAGGTGTTTTCATGTTCTCTTACATGCTGTTGTTTTTTCTAGCTAGAGAGTGAGTACTCCCACCTTTCTACTGAAATGATATTTATTAAATAAAGCTAAAGCTATCTGGGTTTAGACAGATATGTGGGATTACATGTCCTACCTTGTCAGAGCACCTTGGGCACCAGTGTCACCAGCATGCTCACAAGAGCTGTGTTGCTTTGTTTGTGGCACCCAAAATCTATCCAGACATCTATCTTCAGACCTCAGAACAGCTAATCTTTTTAAATTTAGTAACAGATTATAATGTAAGCTTGAAAATACAGAGTTGGAGTAGTTCATAGTTTCCACCAGAACATAAAGGACCTAAAGCCCAGGATAGCCTTGAGGAGAGGCCAGAGCTGTCAATGTATTCAGGTGCATGTTTCTACCTTTGTCCTCAGGCACATGTCCCAGTTCACAAGGGCACTCAAATATTTTCATAATGCCTTAGATTGCCCAACTGAAGCCAACAGGACTGGCTGATGCCAGAAAAACTACTTATGATTAACATTAAACACATTCTTTAGATGCTGATGAACTGGGGCCTATGGTAGTTTAAGAATTGTGAGTGCTTGAAAATAAAATATTTCAGTTTCTATACATTTAAGATAGGACTAGGAGTCACACAGAGGAAAATTTTACCCACTGCCATATCTCCTTAAGAAGGAAATGAAACAAACACAGAAGGCATTGGCATTGATGATATTATTACTGTTATGATTGTTATTTTATTATAGGTTCAGAAATAGATGATAGGTTTGTTGCTACATAAAACTTTGGAAAACAAGAAGTGTATTTTCTTAATTCAGTAATTTTATTAAATAGTTTGTAACCTTATTTGTAGACTTACCTAGGAATTGTAATTGCTTTATGTGATAGGTTTGGAAAGAAAAATAAATATCAGTTATAGGACCTGTTTTCAAAACTGAAATTTAGAAGTAATATGGCTTTCAATATTTTGCCTTGTGATATTTAATTGCCTACTCTAAACAAAAAAGTGCTTCAAAGAAGTCTTTCAATCCTTTTCCAGTTTTTCAATTCCCCCCCTAACATTTCTTGGCACGGGCAGCACATCTTTCATTCAGTTGTGGTGGAAAAGATTTTTCAAAACAGCATATAAAACTGGTGTGTCAAATCTGCCTGGCTGGCTGTCTCAAATTCGGGAGGTCTCACATTGTGACTTTTATTTTAACATGGATTTCTATTTTGTATTGCAGTGGATTCCCTTTTATCCAGGTGAAGGCAAATCTGGGAAAAAAAAAAGTCTTTCCTTTGGATTGTAGCATCCCCAACACTGCAGACTGCAGCATTCCCTTCCAGTCATGAGAGCTGGAGTGTCTGCACTTTATCAAACAGCATTTGGAAAATCTTCTTGGAAATCCTGTAACTGGGACACTCCTGAAAGTCAGAGCTGGCAGGAGCGAGTTCTCATGAGCTGGAGAAAACCAGATGGAGACCCCAAGGCTCCATTAAAGAGAGCCTGTGGCAGGAGGCAGCAGTGTGTCCTGGTGTGTCCCTGTCCCTCCACATCCCTGTTCTCTGCCAGCAGAGCAGGGTGCCTGAGCATCCCAAATTTCCTTTCCTGGCTTGCTGGAGCTGTTGATCTGAGCTTATCCACAGGGATGTGGGAGAGGGGGCACAACTGACTGTGCTGACACACTGATGAGAGCCTTCACTGGGAACAGAGCAGTCAGCAAGGAGCAGCTGCCAGCAATAGCCCTTCCTGTGACATGCAGAGCAGGGTGTCCCCGTGGCCACACCTCATTTGTGGTTCACCAAATTGTGCTGCTCTTCAAGCTGTGCTCAGTTCCCTAAAAGGCCTTGTACAGATGTGGGCAAACATAGTACCCTCAAGTAAGAAAAAGGAATTAAAATTATTAAGCAGCATTAAAAGTCATGCAGGAAGATGTTTTGTAGTGCTAAGTGGGAAGAAATTAAATGCTCTCCATTTCAAAGCTGACAAAATTTATGTAGAAAGGCTATAGTAAATCAGTGGTGAAGCTATGAATAAAGTTCAAGCAAATAGAGCTAGGCTGCCTTTCTTTACACACTTCTCTTAACGTAGATTAAGACAGTTTAAGTTTAAATGCATATATTAACTGCTCAGTATATTGGTGTGTAAATATAGCTGCTTTCACTGCCCAGCCAGAAACCTCATTGCAATCTCTTTGTTACAAGTTTGTAAAGCAAACAGAAATGCAACAGGGAGGAGAGTCAGGAGCTCCCAAAATCTGAAGCTGGGGTTATAAATAGCTAGAGAGCTGCCAGGTGATGAGCTCTTAATGCTTTGCAAATGACCTATGATATATATATATATATATATACATATATATATATATATATATTTGCATTTCCAGCAATAGTTATCCAGTGGACTGAAATGTCTTCACAGATCTCCTTCCAGGACAGTATTTCCATCCCAGCTTCATTGTTCTTGGAGATGGAGTACTTGTAAGCCAGTTTATAAATCTCTTCCTTGAGCAGCTTACTTTTATAGGCATTTTATGAGTTGGAGCATCTGGCTCCATTTGTAGATCATTCTGATTCTTTCCATTCTAACACTCAAATTGCTTCAGGCAAGGCTTTTTTTTTTTTTCTGTGTGTGGTGCTTTGTTTGTCCTAAATTTCCAGTGACACGTTTCTCATTTACTGTAAAATGTTGAAGCTATCACATGGTGGAAGAAGAAGGTAGTCCTGAATAGTTGCTCTTCTTGAAAAGGGCAATGCAGTTATTTGCCATCTGAAAGACTGACCTTTTAGTTGCTAAAGTTTTCTGAGGCTGGTGATGCTGTTGATGGTAGATCCAGGTTGTTGCCCAGGTCTGTGGAACACCCAGGTACAAGAGGTTGCCTCAGGATGAATTTTTTTTCCATTTAAGTTCCATCTCTTAGCAAGTCAGTGCTATGGCTACTTGGAGATCACAGAATCACAGAATGATTTGGGGTGGAGAAGACTTTAAAGATCATCTTGTTCCATCCATGGGCTGGGACACCTTTCCCTATCCCAGGTTGCTCAGAGCCCAATCCAGCCTAACCTTGGACACTTCCAGGGCTGGGGCAGCCACAGCTTCTCTGGGCAACCTGTGCCAGGGCCTCACCACCCTCACAGGAAAAAAATCCCTGCTAATATCCCTTCATGCCACTACTTTCCCCTGCTCTGGGACTGCAGGCACGCGTTTCAGCTGAGTCAGGAAGAGCTGTGTCACTGGTGCCTTGGCTTGGTGGTGGCATACACTGGCCCTTCTGGCAAACACAAGTGGGCTAAGGGTTGTAGAAATCATGCTTTCCTTTAGAATGATGTCTTGTCTTTTGACCCTTATTTTCTCCCTCTGTTGTGCTTTTTCTCCAGCTGGGATGACAGCAGCTCTGTCAGCAGTGGGATCAGTGACACCATAGATAATCTCAGTACTGATGACATTAACACGAGCTCCTCTATCAGCTCCTATGCCAACACGCCTGCCTCGTCCAGAAAGAACTTAGATGCACAGGTAAGAGCTTTGGTTTATTCAAGTAACACTGATATTTATTATTTTCTCTGTATAGGAGGCATAATTATTTTAGGTTGGCTGAACTTGAACACACAGCCAGCCTTCAGTATAGACAGTATCAATAGTGACCACCTTGTCATTCATGGCATTTACAAATATTTCTGTGGGTGGAACCTGTGGCATCTCTGCCATGGTGATGTCAAAACAATTGAGTCTTGCCTTCCTATAGGCTCTGCTGCACAGAAAACAGATGTAAATGGGATTTTATAGAGATTTTTTTTTTGGTCTAGAAAAGTTTACGTTTTTCTCTTAAGTAATAGAATGCAATAAAGTCAACGTGAAAGTTCAAAGGTTGTTTACTCTTTTATCAGAAAAGTAAGCATGCTATGCAAATGAAATGGATTTTATTAAATTTCCAGAGCTTTATTGTGTGTTACTGAAGGCTTTCTGTGTTTGGCAGTATTTCATAGGAGGATAAATTTTGCCTCCATCAGCAGGATAAATGTACATTTTGTGCTCAGGCACCACACATCCAAAGAGGATGGAACAAGTGAAGGCATCTAACAGTTTTTCATTGATCAAATAAACTGTAACACAGAGGTTTGCACTCATATAGACTGCTTTTTTTAACCTATTGCACAGGTTTTTGTTTGGGAAAGTGCAGGACTAGAGAGTCCAGCTTTGTTCTCTGTACAGCCTGCTCGAGGGACTCGGGTGCTGTGTGCTGCAGCCACTGGGATGTGGTGACCTGGCAGTGCCACAGGTAGAGGAGAGGGATGTCAGTATGACCTGCTCCTCTGTTTCTTCCCTCTTTTAATCTTTTCCAGTCCTTTTCATCAGCGGATCCTAAATCAGTTTTTGACATCAGTTTTGATGCAGACGTGTGGTTGCTGTGAAGTATTGCTCTGTCTCCAGAGCTGTGGTGCAAGCACAGAGTAGTCTTTGTTCCCTTGCCATGCAGTGCATATTTGAGCCTACACAAAGGGTTTCCAGGTAGCCTCTGGTTGCCTATCAGTAACTGCACGGGCACTTGGAGCTGCTAATACAAGTCCCATACAGGCTGAGAGGGGTTAAAATCTATCAAGCATGTTTGTCAGTACCTGACAGAGAGTAAGATGGGCAGCTAGAAGTATTTTTTGACAATTGTTACTGTCTCAACATTATAATACTGTTGGGGGGGGGGGAAGGAAGACTTAAGGAGATGTGACTAAACATTAATCTAAGGGAAAAAAATAGAAACGCATATGACTTCTATCTTCTGATAGATCAGATTCTTGGAAACACCTCTGAGAGATCAAAATCGTGTTGACAAACTCCTCTTCCTCCTCCACAACTATTACAGTATCCAAGAGGGTGCAGACAGACACCAGAAGGAAAGCAGCTGGAGCTTGTTCAGGCAGTAGTGTGTAGTTGTTGGCAGAGGAAGCTAGGAGCAGAGAATGTACAAGTCGTGTTTGCAGTTTTTTGATGTGATGTGTGTCTCTGACCTGCTTCCCTCCTCAGTTTTTATGAATGACAATCTTTATTCCAGATATTCTGTTATCTGCAAATTGTTGCCCATAAAATAGTTCATTTTCAGTGGAACAGACTACCTGAATCTTGTCAGCCAAGGAAATGAAAGGAGCTTGGAGTGCTGAAATGCATAGCATGCAGAGTTAATTTTCTGCTGCCAATTGTAGACCTCAGAGCTCATGATGCAGAGAATGCTGCAGACACCTTTTCTGTCTTTCCTGAAGGACTTTGTGATGGTCAGTGCCCAGGTTTGCCTTCCCCACGGTGGTGAGCCACAAAGGACTAGCACACATTTGCAGAAGGATGTGGGTTTCTTCTCAGGGTGTCCCTTGCCTTGGTTCTCCTAAACAGTAGGTGCTTTTGAGCTGCTGTGATTTTGTCACATCTCTTTGAGAGGGTACAGAAGTTGGATTTCATATAATTAAAGAGGGATCTCAAAGCTAATACATGTGCAGCTGGGAGTCCAGGCAAATAATGCAGCAACATCAAAGGGGGAGAGAGCCTGAACATGTCAGTGTCTGCTGATAAAATCAGTAACTCAGGCAGAATCATCTCTGCAAAGAAAGGCATAGTTGCAGTAGGAAAAAAATCTCTCTTGAGAAGCTGATTTTTGGAGCTGATGAGTACCCCATACTCCAGAAGCTATAGTTTCTTCATCTTTGAGAAACAGGACTTAAAAATGATATTAACTCCATCTTCAGAGACATTCCTAGCTGTAGCCCATTTTTACAGCAATGCAGTGAAGATGTTTGCAAGTTGTTTTTGAACAAGCCAGTGATGAGAACCAGAATTTGCCTTACCATGTTCCCATGTCCTGCTGTGATTATGCCAAACCACTTAATGTACTTATATGAGTTTTGGCACCTTATTATTTTTCCTTTGTATTGCACAGAATTAGGTAAGTTGCCTTTATCACAGTACTACATACAGTGTGCTTTTAAAGTCACATCATATACATACTTTAAGGAGAAATTAAGACATATTGGGCATTTGAAAATAACTCTTTTAACTGAAATAAGATGGGAGAAAGAGACCAAGTAATAAATTCAATCATGTGATGGTAAAAAGATCGGAAGATAGAAAGGTTCCTTTAAATGGAAAAATGCAGCATCCCTAAGCTGTTGTATAAGACATCTTCTCAGCAAAGATGGATTTGGTCTGTTCACAGTTTCAGATTTACAAAACTTTATGAGTGAGTTGAGAAATCCTGGTGGTTTGCTTCCAAGCTCAGGCTTTGCTCTCAGCTCGTGCTTTCTGTGTCTTCCATGACCTCCAGCCAAGAGTATTTCCACTTTCACCCTTCCAGGAGAGTGGAGTTTCAGCTGCAATCCCCCAGCCAGATTTCACTGTGTTTTGGTTTTGATTCCTTAGTCATGTTTCTGTGCTGTTCTCAGTGTTTACCATTAAACAGAAACATCTCTGGCCAGAGGGCTTCAAAGGTGGAGGTGCAGCATTTCAAAGGCTGCAGGAAAATTTTGGCCGTGGGTGTAGTAGTGGAATGAAATGGAGGAGAGCAAAGGTAGAGGACTTCTTGCAGTGCTGTTCTCTCTGTGGAGACTGTACTAATCTTACAGATTAGGGGAGGGGAAATAGAAGATACAGGAATATTTCCTAGCCAACCAAGCTAGAATAAGGCCTTTGGTAGCAATAAGGGGTAATTCTTTTTCTTGAACACTAACAGTGCATACTCACAATTCCAGACAAGGAGCTTAGAACAAGGTACTGAAGTGACCACGTGGTGGCTTTGAGGTGGCTTTGTTGATTGATTGTTTGGTACTTTTTCCCTGTGTTCTCTTCCAAGATCTGTGAGTGTAGGAGATGTTTACATGAAACAGTGATTTTGGAGAGGTACAGGACATAGGAACAGGCACAATGTGAATTTATTACACACCTTCTGATAGTCAGAAATAGAAAGGTGACCCACCAGCCCCTAACCTGGCAGGCATAGGAAGAGAAGGGAGTTAAAAAGCAGAGATCCACTCAAGCCTATGCTGGATTGCTCTCTTTCAATGGAGAGGCAGGGAAATATTTGTGTAGCATGAGGAAAAGTACAATAACATAATATTATCTAAATCCATAATTCAAAATGCATATTAGTCTAATGACTCAATATGTAGATAAATAACCCAAGCCCTGTTTCTCGACTGAAGAAAGACCATTATGATATGTGGTGTCAGCTTTCACACACTGATTGCTTAACTAGTTTTTCAGGCTTTACAGTAAAAAGCAGAGGAAATCCAATCACAGTTCCCCTAAATTCTTGAATTTTAATGGTGTGATCTGGTAGGAAAAGAAAAGTCATAAACATAAAACATTCTTTAGGAACTTAAAAATAAAAGCTGAAAAACATGGTAAATAATCTTACAGCTTCTCCTGTGCTGTGTTTTTCTGATTATCCAAAGGGAATAAAGACTGTGAGCTTTATAATGCTTCGGGATATTTAAAATAATTTCCTTTTAAATAAAGTCTTCCTTTTGCCTACCGCACAGTTCTGAGCACATTCATCTTCTGCTGAGGCTGCAGGGCAGAAGAGGTGGCATCAACACCTCACCAAAACCCATCAGCCCATACTTGGGAACTGCACAGTCAGGTGTTGAATTTCATGGTGCTGTGGTGGTTGGAGAACACTTCAGCTATAAATTTTTTATCCTGATCAGAGTCAACTGTGTGGATATTTGCCATTTGTTCCTGATCACAAAATGTTTGGTTGTGCTTTTACCACATTCTCCAAATTTAATCAACAGCATTTGGCAGGTGTAGAATTCTGGAATAGTAATCATTAGCAGTGGGAAATATGGATGGGGCATGTATAAAATATACACAGATATATAGGGTATTACATTTAATTTAAACATTTCTGAGATCTTTGCAAAGGTTTGCTAATGAGAAATTTTCCTATTTAATACTGAGCTTAGCAAAATTCTCCATAAGAGAGTGGTAGCACAATCAGTCTGTGCAAAGAGTAGGGGAAAAAGCAGTCTGTAAGAGAAACTAAGGTAATTTATGTATTGAAGTCAGTCTTGAGTATTGTTAGAAAGTTTTTCTTCAGTCCTTGGGTGTCCTTTGACTATGTTAGGTTAGAATTAAGAGCATTCCACATATCCAGATCTGTTCCAAAAGCTGCCTCCTCATGCTCTGGAGATCAGATTGCCAGACAAGAGATAAGAAAGCAGCCGGAACAAAGGAAGGCTGGCTGGACAGGTTTGAAATGTTTTTTTGGCATTGCAGTAAAAGGGTTTGTCAGAAATTTCAGATGGAGGATTATAACTGTCATGGAGCTGAATATGTACTTTATAAATGAAGTAGAGTTTTTTTCCCTTTGTTTATTCCAAGGAGCATGACTATTGTATTTTTTGTATTTTTCTTATAAAGCATATTAAAAGGATTTGTCATTGCTGGGGTCAGTTTCTTGCTGTGACATTTCTTCATCAAAGGCACATCGTGTTTGTCGGTACTCAGAGATGACTGCTGAGCTGATTTATCAGGGTGATGGTTCTTACTTACAAAGCTTCTTAAAAGAAAGACTTGCTCTGAGAGTTGCCTTGCAATTCCTTATCTGTCCTAGACTGATGCAGAGAAGCATTCCCAGGTGGAGCGGAATTCCTTATGGTCCGGAGATGAAGTCAAGAAATCCGACGGGGGATCTGATAGCGGCATAAAAATGGAGCCGGGATCCAAGTGGAGGCGGAATCCCTCTGATGTGTCAGATGAGTCTGATAAAAGCACTTCTGGTAGGAAGAACACTGTTATTTCCCAGACGGGCTCCTGGCGACGGGGCATGTCAGCTCAGGTTGGCATTACCACACCAAGGCCTAAACCTTCAACCACCCCAGGCACATTAAAGACACCTGGAACAGGTGAGAAAAGGCGTAAGATGTAAACAAGCCAAAAAGTGTGTTCAGTGTGAAAACAGTTTACATACTTTGCAGAGGCAGAACCTGAACTTCAGGTAATCCTATCTGTATTTTTAGGCATTGCTTTAACCTAAGCAGCAACTTGTATGTCCACATTTCTATTTCTGTCTGAAAATGTGTATTTCAGATTAGTTCACCCTGCCAGTTGTTTTCTTGAAAACTCTGGTCTTAAGCCAAACTGTTTATTTGGCACAGTAGTGGTGTATTTATTCTTATAAATAATATAGTCTTAGTTTTTGAAGTCACTGTTAACCAAGAACATACAATATATATGGTTGAGGAGATTTTTTTTTTTTTCCCCTTACTAAACAAGCATGTTTGTTTATACTAAACATGATTTCTGGCTTTTCTTCTAAGTTTATTAATCATTTTAGCACTTGCAGATGCGTGAATGAAAATTGATTGGATTTGCATAATCAAGCGATATAATTTAATACCTCTCTTTTTATTAGGTCTTGTACAGAATTGTATATGAAAAACTTAATGTTAGATACTGTCTTGAACAATACAAATGCTTTAACAATGCCTTTTAGGGAATTTATACTATCAGCCTAACACTACTAGTGTTTAATGATAGAATTGATCGATCTGTGGTAGCTACAGAGGGAAACTTTTTTTTCTTATCTGTCACTTATGTAAGGCTGTTCTGCTTTTCATATTCTCAAGGGCAAAGGCACCACATACTTTTTTTGGCAAGTCTGCATGTGTAACTCACTAAAGTGGCATGTAAGTTCAGTGCAGACTAGATCATAACTTTGAACCTCACTCCAGTGGCTAACACGCTTTTGCTTTTCATGCTGCTTTGAGTTTCATCATTTGCTTGATGTTTTCAAGTCATTAAATATTAGAATTCTTTTTCTATTTTTGTAGGGAAAACTGATGACGCCAAGGTATCAGAAAAGGGTAGACTATCTCCTAAAGCTGGACATGTTAAACGTTCCCCATCAGATGCAGGACGCAGCAGTGGTGATGAATCCAAAAAGCTTCCCACAAGTAATTCTAGGACAACTGCTGCTAATGCTAATACATTTGGATTTAAGAAACAGAGCGGGTCAGCCATAGGCATGACCATAATCACTGCCAGTGGGGCAACTCTCACCAGTAGATCGGCTACCTTGGGAAAGATCCCCAAGTCATCTGGACTCATGGGTAGGACCACTGGTCGGAAGACTAGTGTTGATGGCTCCCAGAACCAGGATGATGGCTACTTAGCACTTAGTGCACGAACTAATCTTCAGTACCGTAGCTTACCCCGGCCCAGTAAATCCAGTAGCAGAAGTGGAGCTGGGAATAGATCTAGCACGAGTAGCATAGACTCCAACATAAGCAGCAAGTCAGCTGGGTTGCCTGTCCCTAAAATCAGAGAGCCTGCCAAGGTAATCCTTGGAAGCTCTCTGCCAGGATTAGTCAATCAGACTGATAAAGAGAAAGGGATTTCGTCTGACAACGAAAGCGTGGCTTCATGTAATTCTGTTAAAGTGAACCCTGCATCACAGCCTGCTGCTAGCGGAGCTCAGAGTACCCACCAGCAAGGAGTCAAGTACCCCGATGTGGCCTCTCCCACTCTGCGCAGGTAGGCAACAAATTCCTTGGTTGTGCAGTGGTGTTAGTGGGAGCTGAATGAGCAGGACTCTGCCAGCCAGGCCTGGCTGGCTTTGGTGCAGCACTTACTATTTAGTGTCCTACTTCTAGGTCTTTGTATTTACATTTAATTTCACACAAACAGGTTGGCCAGTGTTGTGGATACTTAGGACGTCATGCGACAGCAGCAGAAGTCTAACGTTTAGGGAAAAAAACCAATCCTGTCTGGCAGAAAGTTTGGCAACTACGATTTGAGTCTCCTTGTTGCAAAAATCATACCTGAAGGGTTTTATCCATGGAGATATCACAGGAATAAGAATTTTCTTACCTGAAGGTTACTGAAGAGTTATTGCACAGATGTATATGTAACAAATCTGAAAATATTCCAGTCGTGGATCAAATTATAAACCAGCAACTGGAGGGTTATCTCAGATTTTCATGATCACAGTGGCATTGACCTGCCATGCTTAGATTCATCCAAAGCAAACTATTATAAATTGTGTGGACTAGCCCAGTATATTGGAAGTCTCAGCATTTTAGCCTGTGTAGAAGAACCCTAAATAAAATTACTGTCTAACTGGGTTAAATTTACTTATTTTAATACTATTTTTGGACAAAAATCCTATGTCTTCTACTTCTCCAGGAGTACCCCACATACTAACATTAACAAATAGTTGGTGAGGAGCTAATTTATTGATGCAGTATATATCAAAGCCTTGATATTGGTGAAAAGTTCTGTTAATATTATTTTTCGACTGAATCTGAGTAGCTTGTCTGTTTCAAGTTGCAGTGTTTTGCATTTCATTTTGTCGTGACGCCCATAATACCCATACAGTTATGCTCCATCATCCTGCTTCCAGTGATGTGAGAAAGCCACATTCCATCTGAAGCACCAGTGCAAGCATAATGGCTGTGATGGCAGCTTAGGCTGATACTGTAAACTGTTTTTACATGGGTGGTTTTATTTGAAGAGTCTGTGTGAGGGTAATTGAAGATACTTTATTAACAATAGATAAACCATGTACTTTTGGAACACGTGATTTTCATCAATGGCTACTTAAAAACTTCAGTAGGCCTTTCACTTCTACAGGATACACAGTGAGAAATGCAGATTTTCAGTGTTTTCGGTGATTTCAATGTGCCTCAGGCAATGCATTGGTAGGAATGTGACTGGGATTTTTTTATTACTAAAAAGCTACATTGCTAGCTGTATAATTGAAATGTTACATTAGAAATACATGAAACTTTAAAGAGCAGACACTGAGGCTCAATTTAACAATTCCCTCATTTGATTTACAATTTCACACTTGAATTTTCACCAGCCTGTCAAAGCTGTCATGTGTTGAAATGCGTCAGAGTTGAATTGGGCCTCATTTGCTTTTTGCTGATTTCTAGGATGACAGTAAAGAAGATTTTGAGCTTAATTTTCATAGTCAGTTGAGTTGCAGACATTGTTTTTTGCATATTTCCTCTTGGCCCTGTAATTTTTTTGGTGTTACACAGTGAATTAGAATCCATACCTTTGTAATGATACAGATTTACCTGTAAGTTTGTGAATATATGTAACTTCCATGTTGTCATAAACAGAGAGTAGCTTAAAAACAGCTTGTCAAGCTGTTATGTGGGTGTTTGAGGTTTTTTAAGCTCTGGGATCCTTTCTTTAAGAGTAGTTTCCCTAGTGCAGCTGAAGAGGCTGTTATGCTCTGGCACAGGAATACCTTAGGGAACACCCTAAGCTGGTGTAGCTGCTGAAGGCCATGGAATCATGGCTTGGGTTGGAAGGGACTTTGAAGATCATCTCATTCTGACTCCCCTGTCATGAGCAGGGACACCTTCCACTATCCCAGCTCATTCAAAGCCCCACCCAGCCTGGCCTTGAACACTTCCAGGGATGGGGCAGCCACAGCTTCCCTGGGAAACCTGTGCCTGACCCTCATCATCCTCACAGGGAAGAATTTCTTCCTTATGTCTGATCTAAGCCTGCCCTCTCAGTTGGAAGTGTGGTCCAAGTGACTTGTGGCAAGTCTGCAGCAGCAGCTGCCCAGCTCAGGTGTGTTCCGGGCACTGGAGCTGCAGGCAGCACCTGTGCAGGGCACACAGCACACCTGTGCAGGGCACACAGCACACCTGTGCAGGGCACGCAGTACACCTGTGCAGGGCACGCAGCACACCTGTGCAGGGCATGCAGCACACCTGTGCAGGGCATGCAGCACACCTGTGCAGGGCACACAGCACACCTGTGCAGGGCACGCAGCACACCTGTGCAGGGCACCCAGCACACCTGTGCAGTGTGGACACTGCTGCTGGCAGCACTGGGCTTGCTCCAGGTGTGCTGCAGCTGCCCAGCTCTAACACAGCCTGTGTTTCTGAGCAGTGAGGGACAAAGTGTCCAGGTGTCCAACAACCTGGGCATACTGCAAAGCAGAGAAAGTTCTGCCTAGGGCACACCCACCCCTAAGCCTGTAGGAACACTTGTATGGAAGTGCTGTAGCCCTCTATTCTGAAAGATTTCACTCACAGTACTAAACAGTGAATGATAAAAAAGCAGATCTGTATACAGGTACATGTGAGGAAAACTAAGGTGGCAAAGGCAGTTACAGGAGCCAAGTGCAAAAACAAAAGCAATGTTTTGTGGTGGATGTTTGAAGCTGGAGTGAAGATACGCTTCCTTCCTAGTTTTGAAGATCAGTTTTGGAATGATTGATAATTTAGTCTGAAGCATGATTACTACAAAGGCATTTGGGCACTTCTGAGAAGTTTCTCATTGACTGTTTATGAGGGAAAGGGGTCTTTGCTTCCTTGGCAGTGCAGCTGCATCACAGGCAGCAGTGATGCTGTGGTCAGCCTCCTCCATCCCCTCCCTCTCTGAGTTCTGGAGCTCAGTTTTTTACTAGCCAGTTCCAGGTGCCAGAAAGCAGGTAACATCACATTCTCCACTAACTAATACGGTTTCCAGCCAGCTTGGCTCATGGAATGAATCAAGCCTACATTTGGTTTGAGTACATTGTTGCATCCCAGCAAAAGCTGGTTCTGTGCAGAGCATTTGGTGATTTGCACAGAATTTACCAGCTCAGTAAGCTTTCAATCTGTAGTATTCCATACATCAGATTGTTTCTCTGTCCTTTTTCCTTAAGGAACAGAAGATAATATGATTGCCTTAGTTCTCTGAAGCTGTATTTTAGCTTTGTGAAAGCATTGGTTGATGATTCAAAGATGACACACCTGAGATAGATTTGAAGCTGTTGTAATTGCCTCTGGGCTTTATTGAAAGGGGCAGTGAACTCGAGGAGATTATGAATGTATAGTTGCATATGTACAATCTAGGATCATGCACTCAATAGAGGTTTTCTGAAGCTAAGATGATATATATGGTCTAGATATAAGATATCCTTGTGTTTACTATTACATTTTATGTATTTTTCATGTTGTCTTCTTTTTTACAGACTTTTTGGTGGCAAGCCTAGTAAGCAAGTTCCCATCACAACGGCTGAAAATATGAAAAACTCAGTTGTCATCTCCAACCCTCACGCTACCATGAACCAGCAGGGTAACCTTGACTCCCCATCTGGCAGTGGTGTGCTGAGCAGTGGGGGCAGCAGTCCCCTCTATGGTAAAAGCACAGATCTCAACCAGTCTCCACTGGCTTCCAGCCCCAGTTCTGCACACTCTGCTCCTTCCAACAGTTTGACATGGGGTACCAATGCCAGTAGCTCTTCTGCAGTTAGCAAGGATGGCATTGGATACCAGTCTGTCAGCAGCCTGCACACCAGCTGTGAGTCCATAGACATCTCCCTGAGCAGTGGAGGTGGGCTGAGCCATAACTCCTCCAGTGGCTTGATTCCAACCTCCAAGGATGATTCTCTGACCCCCTTCGTCCGAACCAACAGTGTTAAGACTACATTGTCTGAAAGGTTAGTGAGTGTTTTCTGTTCTTTCCATGTGTTTGTATCTCAAAGTGGGAATGAAGCCCTGGCAGCAGTAGCCAACACTGCAGATACAGATCGAGTAATGCCTCTTACCAGATAATGCAGATAACTCTAGGACTAGAACATACAGATAAGTTATTCCAGGAAAGGAGCCCAGTTCAGAGCAGGAGGATGGGTTCAGATGAGGTTTTTAATTTGCTGTCACAGCCAATGTGACAACTTTTTTTTTGCTACCATATGGTGCCTAATACTTTTGCATTGTAGGTTATCCTTCCAAAGATCTGCTGAATTGAGCTGATAGTGATATCTAAAAAAAACCTCCAGTTTTGATTGGAAAAGTCAACTGTTTCCTGTTAAACTTTTTGGTTATAGAATTTGACAACTTTCAAACTGGAGGTGATCCTGAAAAGACAAGTCCTCATCTCCATAGTCACTTGATCCCTTCTCATCCTCTCCCTGCTGCCTTATCCTATCTCAAATTGCTCCCTACAATATTTTGTATTCACATGAATATGTGAATGCTTAGTGAATCCTCTTGGAAGCTGGATCCAAGTGGAAAGCAATCAGCTGAACTGTATTTCAGACTGATCTGCTCCTCAGCTCTGTATACTGTGAGATTCACTGGTGCCTGTGTGGACACAGGATAGGACCTGGGAGGAGGCTGAGCAGGGAGGAGGGAACAGGGCTTTTCTAGCATCAGAACTGGGTTGGTGGCACACTGAGCTGACACTGGGGTGAACTCAGTAGTGATCTCTGAAGGACTCCTTGTAGATGGCAGTTGAACCCTTCCAAGTACTGGAAATCAGCTATGTCTGAATCTGTCTATATCTCACGTGTAGTGATGAATTCAGGTAGCAAGATTTTTATAGCTGTGTCTCAGTGGAGGAAATTGCACCTGAATGTAATGTTCTGATAGTTTGGGATTCTGTTTGTGTTTTATTATAACTCCTTTTTGTTCTCTCATCTTTTCATTCTAATACTCCTTCTCTTGTTTTCTGTCTTGTTGGACTGCTCTTTGTAGCCCTCTTTCTTCCCCTGCTGCTAGCCCCAAATTCTGCCGAAATACTTTGCCCAGGAGACAGGACAGGTAATGCTGTCTCAGGACAGGAGAACGCTCAAGGCTGTAGGTTTTGTTGCCCATCTCAGTGAAGCAAATTGTTTTGTGCCAGACTGTGCTCAGTTGAGTGCTCTGCTGTGTTCATCATCCAGGTGTGAACTGACACAAAGACATGCCAGTGAGAGTCCCTGCAAACACCCATTTACCCACCCAAATCAATCTGGAGAGGGGCATACAGCACAGTTGGCATGTTTTTGGTGTTGCTCTTATTTCTGAGAATGTCCTTTGGTTTGGGGGTGTACTTTTAACCCACCCTGCATAGCTTTGCCAAAGGCAATTTGAAAATATGCCCTTTTTTTTTTTTTTCCCAATGAATCTAAACTCTCACTAGCATTTCAGCATTCCTCTGGCATGCTGCTTTTCCCACTGCCTTTCTGGCCTGTCCTTTTTGTCTTGACGTCCCTGTGTCATTCAGTGTCGTCAGTCTCTTACTGCAGTTTGGCTCATGAGTGTTTCCAAGTACTTAGGCACATTCATCCTTGTACAAATGAATGCTAAAGTAATGAAAAGATGACACAAATCTAAACATTCCAGCTCACTTTTGCTCACTGATGTAATTTTAATCAGTCCCATACTGTAACTTAGCTATAAGGGTTGTCATTTAATTAATTTGCTTAAGCATAGAGATATTTTCTGTAAAAACAAATTAACAGGCTCTGGTCATCAGTTGTAAAAATATAAACTGAAATAGTAGACTTTTGGGCAACTGATGGGTTCGTTTTACTTTGCTAATGGAACTTTGGCTAAGATTTGGAAATTTATACAGTAATTAGGTGTAAATGGTGTCTGCTGAAAGAAATGATGGGAAGATGGTTTGGACTTGAAGATTCCCATCACTTTTTACCAGTAGCCTGCTGAAAAGTGTATTTTTAAACACCCATTTGATGTTTAAAGAGCCATTTTTGTTCATTGTGGGTAGGAGAAACAGTGAAATGAGGTTGTGAACAGATGTGGTTCATTGGCATGGTACCAGCTGCATGTTTGTGCAAAGCCCACCTGGGTGAGGAGGTCTGTGCATGTGTCTGCAGGGAGGCCCCAGCACCTTTTCCTCTGAAAAGGTGATGCAGATGTTTGTACGTCCTTCCTTCGTCCTGATCTTACTCCTTCCCTTTTGTTCTTCTCTGAAGTTCTTTTCTTTTAACTTTTCTGCAGTGACCCACATCTTGATAGGAACACTTTGCCTAAGAAGGGACTCAGGTATTGGTGTTTCCACATGGTTTAACATCTTCTGTGGTGGCTTTGGAGTTTGCTTTGTGTTTCTGTTGTGGCTGGTGGTGGTGGTCGCAGTTTGCAAGAGGTGGCAACAATACTCTTTCTTTTTTTCTTTCTTTCTAGCTTTCCTTTTTGCTTTCTTACTTGCTTTCTTTTCAATCCTCAAAGAAGACCATTGACAACTCTGCTTTTTTTATCCAGTGGCCTCTCTGCTTGAGCAAGAACTGTGGCTTTTGCTGGCTTAATTGCTGGAAAGCATTTAATCTCAAACCATCCCTGGGCTTGATTTAAAAACAATAATGCTGCTGTTTCTGCGGCTGTTACATGGAATGACCTGAAATCGTTTTTTAACCCTGGGAACCTTGGTGTTGTTATATAAATAGAAAAGATTTACAAGATCATGCCAAACTGTTCAGGTTGAAATTGGGCATATTAATTTTTTTTTTTAAATTACATCAGAATACTTAAATCTATAGGGCTCTACTCTCGTAGAAAATAACAAAAAAAAATCATCAAATAAGCTTTCAGCAGTTGTTTTCTCACATATTTTGTGCATATGTAGGTTAGTGATTTTTATAACATAGGTTTTTTTCCATTGATCCAAGCAATTCTAGCCAGAATTACTATTAGCTATGTTAATTAAATGCTTTACAGAGAATATACAGAAGATATCTTTGACAATTTAGAAAACTGCAGCTTCTGAATTGCTTACTGCAGCTTCTGGGATCACTGCCTTGGAACTGCAGATGTGACTTTTTCTGTGCTATGCATCTTGTTCTTCACAGCAGCCTTGTGCCGTGAAGCTGAGAACTAAAAGCCTTTCTTAAAATGGCAATTTGTTTTAAAGTTTCTATGGTCCTCAAGTATGTCTTTAATAAATGCTCTCTTCTAAGACCAAAACATTTGAGTACTGAAGAGGTAGGTATAATGCTGAAAATAAAAATAAATCTGTATTGTGTTAAGGTAACATGACTGTTTAAAGCCCCTTTCTAAAGAAACTCATTTAGGTGCAAAGTTTTAGAGATGCAGATTGTCAGGGACTGCTGCTGAAGTGTTGAAACATAAGCAGAAGAATGAATGTAGTTTTTGAAAGCAGTTTGACTTTTTGAACTATTGCAGTGTTCCCATTGATTTAAAATAGTCTTAATAAGTGATATCTTACTGTAGGGTATTTAATTGAAGGGAATCAATTAAATAGATAGTATCAGCTAATAATAGGCTTTAAGTTTTTGGAAGGAGAGCTAGTAACTCATAAGTATTTGTCCAAAGGTGATGGCATAGCCCAAGACAGGCACTGAATTCCCTCAGCAAACAAGTGTTTCTGGGATGCTCTGCCTGTACCCTATCACGTAGCTCACATAACACCTGTCTTGACATTCCTATTTTTCACACAGATACACAATAAATCAAGTTTAAGCTGAAGCCAGTGGGTGTTTTGCCACTGATGTTGGGCATAGACCATGTTTCTTCTGTTTTCATTGCCTTCAGAAAAGGCTAAATGTGGTCTCCTTTATGATGTTTTAATCCTGTTAGTTTTGAACTAAATGGGATACACCTCCACAGACCTTATATGAATATCTCTGGAATATGAAATATTGGGTCACAGCTTGTTGGAAAAAATCCTGATAATGGCTTTGTTGACTTGAATTTGGTTATAATATCACAAAAAGTCAGCTAAGATTATTGATGTACTGAAATCTTTAAATAGTGTTAGAATTTTGGCATAGCTTAGGGAAAGGTTTTCCAAGTTATAGTTTTATTTTTAAATCATATGATGTAGCACACACTACATTTTATCCTACAGTGCTTCACTGCACGACTTCTGCCTCTGACTTTGGGTTCACTCCAGTTTGGTTATACCTGAAGCAGTAGGAAAGAAGTTTGTGGGGTTTTTTTTTTCCCCCCCAAACAGAGGTGAAATGGATTAGGAACATATTGGAAGAGCCTGGAGCAGCTCCTTAATTCAGAATTCTATTTGATTTATATTATTTAATCCTTTAATTTCATATGAGGATTCTTCCATTTTTCTTTCTCTCTCTCTCCCACCCCAAGCCTTGTGACATTTCATGGTTGGTTGGTTGTTTTTTTTTTTTAACAAAACAGTCAGATAAATATCAAAGTTCATCGTGAAAAGGCTGTTTGTTTTTGCAGGTATACTCCATCCTCCCAGCTCCGTAGTCAAGAGGATGCAAAGGAATGGCTCCGCTCCCATTCAGCAGGAGGACTGCAGGATACTGCTGCCAATTCTCCATTTTCATCTGGATCCAGTGTAACATCACCCTCTGGAACCAGATTTAACTTCTCTCAGCTTGGTGAATAATTATCTGTTTGAATAATCATGGCAGTGCATTGTATGTCCTGAAAACAGCATGCTACACAAGATAATTTTCTTTCAGCAGCTCCAAGGCCCACATTGAATCTGAGGAAGCACTTTCATTGAAATGAGTATGACTAATTAGCATCATTATCTCATATGCCCAAAGGTGCCATACTTGCAGTAACTTTGAAACTGCTTCTCTGGGAGCAGTCAGATTCCTTCATATAAATTGTGGGTTTTATAAAATGTTCAGTAGAGCTGTCAGTTAATATCACACAGTGGGGTGCTTAGAGGACATAAGATGTTGCCTGCTTTACAGAAATAATTCTCTAAAATCCAAGCGTTTTACTTACTGTATGTGCCAGCCTCATCAGTTTCATATTTTATCTTTGTCTTTTTCAAGTGGCTTGTTGGAAAATTGCAGGAAGTTCAATCAAGCAATATATAAAAGTCAGGGGAGTTTCAAGTCAGAAAAGGTTCCATTCCTTCACTTAATTTCATTGATAAACACATTTTAAATGAAGGAAACAATAACAGCTGATTGGCAGGATCCATAAAGCATTGCAGATTTTAGCTGACCATATCAGCAGTTGAAATAACCTGATTTAAAGTGCTAGTGGTGCTCACCTGTGGTGGGCTGGTTAAACATGACTTAGCTGCTTTGCAATTTCTTCAGGTTTGTAAATTTTGTCTTTAAGTGACATTTGGAAAGAAAATGCCTGCTTGTTTATGACTTTCAGAAGCCCCTCCATAATAATTAATATTATTACTTAAAATAAATATGTTGTTTATTATAACTTCTATAAAATTACTAATTTATATATAATAATTATGTGCAAAATAGTTAAGCTTGTCCTTGTGAATTTGGAGCAGATTGCACAATCACTTATTTCTAGTGTAGTTTTGAGTTGCAGTAATGACATTTTAGAGCCTTTCTTTGAGTGTTCTGTAAAGAAACACATTCAATAACTGGCTTTAAATAAACTGACACTTAGCAACATTTCAGCTGAACATACACACAGCGTGGCTACATTTCCAACAGCTAGGAAACTGTCAGGAAAGTTCATGAAATTTAAAAAAAAATAAATTAAAAGGTGTTGTCATAGGCTCAGAAACTCTTTATGTAGAGTGTTGGAGATTATTTGTATTAGCTTCAAAAGCTATTTGGCCACAAACAGCAGTGAATACAAAAAAAAAGAAAATACATTTTTCTATGTTCTTAAGAAGAGAGCTTAGAGATACTGGAGTTAAGGGGGTAATTTGATTTAATTTAAGAGCAAATGATGATATGAAAGTCGAGCACCTGTAAACTGAATTACCCTGTTTTCTACAGAAACAGGCAATGACAGCACACCAAGAGGAACCTGCCCCGATGAACAATGATTTTGTTCTCTTTGTTTACCCACAAATCAACTTATTTACTAAGTAATTCAATTCAATTCTTAGTAAATAGCAGGCATAATTTTACAAAGAACAAAAGAACAAAAGTTCTTTTGAGAAATGTGAGATTGGAGTACTTTTCTACTCTAAACACTGGCTGGGATAATATTGGCTTTTGAGGTAAAATTAATATTTTGCAGTTCTCAGGACATCATAGTGGAAGGATAGTTCTGAAATATACAGCTATTAGGAAACTAAAGCTCTTTACATTCGTGACTAAAATACATAGAAAAATGTCATTTTCTTAGAACTTGAAGGCTTTGAAGAAGGTAAGTCCTGCTCTGTATGGACAAAACCCCACAATTTTTGTGGAAGAATAGTTCCAAATTAAATGAGGAGTTAATTAGTTCATGCCTGGACAGTGTTAGTGAGGTGACTGAGCTTGTTTGTGGAAACACAGACATATCACCCAGTGTTTAAAATGGCTTTGTTTTACTTGAATTTTCACATTCACTGGTGTAGTCGGCATACCCCTTACTTGAAAAACAATGAAGCCTGGAGAAGATGATATCAAAAATGTTGTTGTAATGCGAGGGAATGGCAAATTGACACAGCAACAGGGACTCCTTTTCTGAGAGCAGAAGAAGTGATTTATTGTAGGAGCAGACACATTTTTATAGACTGGTTCACAGAACCAAAGGATAGAACAAGCTCATTGGTCCAAGGAAGGCAAAATTCTTGTAAACACGCTTTTATTAAAACATCACGTTCCTCACGCGCTTATCTTGTCAACAACACCAGGTGCTGAACTTTGTTATTAACTCCTTCCTTTCTGTTTCCCTTTGAGTAGTTTGGGAAAAATCAGACTGCTGCTTTTCCCTGACTCTCACCAGCACCCAGATCAAAAAATTGTGTCTCAAAGTAGGCGGGGGAGGGAGGAAATTTTGCTGTTTGGCTGCAGGGCGGAGCGGAGCGGTAACGGTGTGTTTGTGGCCGGTTTGCAGCGAGCCCCACGAGCGCGGCGCAGATGGGCCTGTCCAACGCGGGCATGCTGCGCACACACAGCCTGTCCAACGCCGACGGCCCCTACGAGCCCTACGGCGACACGCGCCTCCGCAACAGCTCCGTGTCCCTGGACGACAAGAGCCGCACCATGAGCCGCTCCGGCTCCTTCCGCGACGGCTTCGAGGAGGGTCAGTGAAGCCCCCCTGGTGCTGCCAGGGCTCCCAGGGTGGTGTTTGCACTTTTCGGTTCAAGCACGGCTTTTGTTTTTTTATTTTTGGTGTTGAGTAAAACCGTTATCCTGGTCGTGGTTGTTCCGATGGTGGGATCGGAGTGTTGGAAGAGACCCACGAGGATCATCAAATGTGGCTCCTGGCCTGTTGTGTTGCACTAATGTCGTTTGGTTTGTGAATGTTCTGTTGCACTAAATGGTTTGTTGTGTACTCGCCCAAGCTGTGGTGATGGTTCTGGCCTCCCCTCACCCCTCCCCTTCAGTTATACCCCATTGTTCAGGGTCCTGTTCCTCCCCTCCCCTTTCCTGGGGTTAAAACCTCCTGCCATTTTCTGTTCGCTCTTTCTCTCCTTCTCCCACCTGGAGAAGACCATTTCCCATGGGAGAAAGAGCCTCCTTTGGTCTTTTGCCCTTTTTGGCATTTCCCCATCTCCCATGGTCCAGAGCTAGCCTAGAGGATCCAGGGAGAAAGGAAAATTGACACTGGCCCTGCCCAGGACACCCCAATAATCACCCCGTGTGCCCGAGAGCATTGTCCAAACACTCCTGAAACTCTGCCAGCCTTGCTGCAGTGACCACTGCCCTGGGGAGCTGTTCCAGTGCCCAGCCACCCTGTGGGTGAGGAGCCTTTTCCTGATATCCAACCCAAACCTCCTGTGGCACAACTTGTGGACATTTCCTTGGGTCCTGCCACTGGTCACCAGAGAGAATGATGATGTTTATTGAGTGAATGTTTTGGTCAGATACAGGAAATAAGTGTTGCACCTAGATCTTGACTGTTCAAGAAATGGTTTAAACTTATCCTGTGCTTCATTTTTAATGCTCTCAAAACGATTAATTCATGCTTAGAGTAGCACATTCTTGTTTCTTCAGTAGGGGTGTTCTGAACTTGCAGCTCCACAGTTCTGTTTATAGTATAGATAAGCAATGTCAGTTGGACTGTTTCTATCCCAGTAATTTTTCCAGTATTTAATCTGTACTTAAATTGTCTTTGCTTTTCATTTCTGCTGAATATCCTCACTTGATATAATGGATCTGCCAAAGAAAGAAATTGAGCAGTTCTTTGTAACATCCTGGCTTGTCTTTTTAGTGCTTCATCTTATTTTCAAATATGTAACCACAGCTGATAAAAAGAATCCATGTAAATTTAATAAGAAAAAGCATTTACCTGTAAATGAGTATTTAGTTTGGTTGTCCTGATCAGGCATCCTTGTGGCTGTAGCAGGAGTGGCTGTGAGCACACATTACAATCCTCAAGCATTGCACTTTGAAAAGTCAAGCATGGAGTGGTTCATAGGAAACTCTTTCAACATTAAATCTTTGAGTCTTAGTTCTCCTTTCTGGCCAGGGTTGGAAGCTTGACTGTACTTTACAGGCCACACAAGCCTTTGATGGCTCTTCCCCTGCTCTGAACTCCTGCACTAGGCAGCCCTGTTAATACCTGTGCCCCATGGCTATTGCTGCCCAAGAACCAGGCATGCATGGGAGCCACACTTCAGTGCTTGCAGAAGCCTTTGAGAGCCACAAAATGCCTTCCTGGAGATTCTGGTTATCCCATCAGGGTTTTTTCCCATTGGAAGAAGTAGAAAATATGCATTGGGTATGTCTCTGGAAAGATTAATTAATTAATTGACTCTTGAATTTAGTCAATCTAATTTCAGTTCATTTAATTGTATTTTAGAGGTCTGTGGCTGAGGATTTTCATTAGGGGTTGAAAATTATTAGAATAATGCTCTAGGGCTAAAAGCTGGGTTATTGCAGGAATTAACTTTTGTTTGCTCTCAGAAAGCTGAATGATCATAAACAGTCAAAGACTGCCAGCTGCTCAGTCAGTCAAGTTCCATACTGTGATGAACAGTCATGCTCTTACTAAATTGTCCCCTAATATAATCTGTGAAGGAATTTGAATCACTTCATCTGGGTTACACTTCAGTGATTTACTGAAAGAGCTATTGCAGGAAAACTTACTTGGTTTTATTGAAGATCTCCCCCAAAAATTGTAGCCTTAGTCTTTTAACTGTGCTCAAGGTTGCAGCAGATACATTTTGGCACATTGGAGGTTAAACTCTCTCTTGTAGTTCAGAAATTCTTGTCCAGCAGAGAGGCTAGTTTGGATTAACACTTAATAAATACTTCATATTTGAAGAAAAAACATTTAAAAAAGAAGAAGAAAAGGAAAATTTGAAAAGAGGTGAAATGTTCTATTAAGCGCTTTTTATTCATTTGAAAAAAGTAATAAAAATGAAGTCCAAGAAATATCCACCAAGTTATAGACTTGAAAGTGGTTGGAAAATACCGCTTTTGCATCTGAGGAAGGAATTTGACCCTACAGTGGACATGCTGAAGATCCCTTTCAGATTTTTTTCACACCTAAAAGGATTATAATATTTTACCAGATGGGTTGAATGTTTAAGTGTAGTCACTCTATTTTTGTCTTCAGGACAATGGTCTTCTGTCACTTCCCTGGCTGTAGAGAAGGCAGGAGTCACCTGCTTATTAGCTTCTGCTTATTTCTCAGGGAATTGCAAGGTCTAAGTGATTAAGTGTTTCTGAATATAGCAGAGATTTTCCTTCACCTTGAGAGAATAGTTTAAAAAGTATTATAGAAATTTAAATTTGTGGTTAATGAACAAATTGATTTTATACAATCATCCAGGTGTCAATGAAGCATAAATCCAGGTCTTAAATAAAGCTTACCAACCTACTTCTTAATTATTTCCCTGCACATAACAAAACATTTGTTTCTCATTAAGTTCAGCAGGGCCGGGATTTATTCTTTTAAGCCTTTTTCTTCTCTTGTCTCTGGGTGTGAAGTACAGTCATGTTCTCTCACAGCACAGCATGTAGGTGGGGAGGTTGGTCAGCCTTGCAGCACATAACTCTTGTGACAGACAGGAGTTCAGGGCTGTGGAGGTGCCAGCAGGAACAGCCTCCAAACTTGCCAGAACTTCACAGGGAAAAAAACACAGCATAAAAATTGAGTGGTCTCTTGGTTCTCCAGTTTCCCCATTCCCTCAGCCAACAATCTTCTCCAGGAGCTGGGCTGCCACTGGCTGCACCCTGATACTTCAGCCTCCAAGAGAAAAAAGATTAAATTCGTTATCACTGGAATATAAATTGTGAATATATAATTGCTTTTTGTGCTACTGACTGCAATACCAGTTGTTCTTTCTGCTCTCTGGGCAGATGATCGTGGCTAGAACGTTTCTTTTCTAGCATTAAAAATGACACATGCTTGCCTGTATGCATTTACACTGTTTGCATTTACAGTGCTTTAAAATAATAGCTCCAGACCAGTTTGGGTTTGTAGGCTGCATGCACATGCATGCTGGCTTTAAGAAACAGGAATTGCATCAAGAGCATAACTGCCTTCAGGCTCCTAATTAAATAGCCTTCAAGTAGCCATCTGCAGATACTGTAAAAAGAAATTGCACAAATATATTAACTCCTTAGTTGTCCTTGGAATGAGAAATTTGAAATTATGTACGTGTTCAAATGATGCACATGAGTGACCATTCATGGGGGAATTTAGGAGCCATGTAGATGTGGCACCTGGGGACATGGTTTAGTGATGGCCTTGGCAATGCTGGATGATCTTAGAAGTCTTTTCCAGCCTAAATAAGTCTGTGATTCTATGTGATGGTGGTGTTTCACAAGGCAGGAGTAGAATTCCCAGTGTTATATGCTCTTTCCCTTTTTTTCCTCATTTTGATTCTTTTCTCCTGTATTAATTCCCAATGTGATCTTAAAAATTCCAGCTGATGCTAGCTCAAAGATGTGTGTGACCAAGTCCATGGTAAAGGTTTCTGTTTCCTCTCTGGCCAGCTGATAGGGCTCTTTTTTGGTTACATGTCTATTAGGAAAAAAAATTCAACAAGAATATAGGGAGGAAGAATATAGGGAGGCAGACCAGAAAATAATACTGTATTCCCTGTATGAGTCTATTTGTGGCCTTGTGCAATATTGCCTCACTTTGTGCTTTCCTTCTTGAAAATCTTAAGGGGAAAATGCAAGTAAAGAAAAGTGAAAAGGAGATCTTAAGTGCAAAACATCTGTGATGCAAAGTTAAAATAGAAATCTTCAGCTTGGAAAATGATGGCTGAAGGCACATGTATGGAATTTGGTTTGTTGTGAAGAGATTGGTTATCCATTGCTTCTCTTTGCACTGTGGCATGGAGGCACTCGAGGAACTCACTGACTGATTCAGCAGCAGGTCTAAAACAACAAAGAATTACATTTCTGAACACAAGAGGATTTTTCATTACAGACAAAATGTGTCAGTGGATTCAGTAGCAGTTGAGTTAATGGTAGAGAGGTCACAGCAGGCAAAATAATGGTCTGGCTGCAGTTTCCATCGCTGGAATTTCCATCTCTGCTGATTCCCAGAAGGTGCAAAGATGTACCTGGGGAATAATCACTGGGTATCTATCTCCTCTTTCCATTCTTTTCAGTAAACATGGGCTGTAGTTGCAGCCAAGGCTGGAGCACACAATTAGAGCCTGGGTCTGACTCACACCACTTATTTTTATTTTCTTAGTGCAGTATCATCCTTAATGTCTAACGAGAAAGATCATTTTAATTGAAAATATGATTACCCAGAGAAAGCGAATGGGTGTGAGGTTTTTTTTTTGCTTTCTTGTGGCTTTTCTAAATTGTCTTAAATTCCTTCAGAAGCCAACTTAGACCTTGTTTACTTCTCTTTCCAGTATTGCCTTAGGATATAATGTCAGTGGGAAAGCAGAACCCATTTATTACGAATGTAGAATTGCAGTAGATAATTAAAGCAAAATGGCAGCTTTTCTAAACTTTTTTTTTTCCCCTTGGCTGGAGGACTTAGAAGAAAGCATAAAATCACTTTTTCTATTTCATATTATTTGTATTCAGTTACCTAAATTTTGAATGGAAATTTCAGTTCAGTACTTTGTTTCTAAAAATAAAAATAAAAGAAAAGTAGTTTTGCATGTTCCAGTAGCAGAAAGAATAGCTTCAGGTACTTTTTTCAATAGTGTAATAAAGAATGAAATGATGTTATATTTATATGTAAATCCTGATGCCTGAGTGATGGTAACAACCTTGAGAATCACAGAATAGTTAGGTTTGGAAGGGACCTCTGCAGATCATCTAGGACATCAATGTATTTGTATGTCCTTTATTGAATTTAAATGCAAAAATTGATAGAAACAAATCCTTTTCCAGGAAGTTTTGTAGCCGTGTTTTCAGTGTTCATTTCTTAATGAGAGAACAAACTTTGCCTTGTTAAAAAAAAGTCATTGCTTTAAAGAAAGACCAAGAAACCCTGCAGGGAAAGGGAACGTTGGGCTTATTATGCACTAATACAGCTCCCTTAAGTCAGCAGAAGGAAGACACAGCTGCATTTAGAGGACAATTCACAGCCCCAAAATTAGACTATGGGTTTTTTAAAAAAATCTTGGGTCCTCCACATCTTCTCCTGGAGCATCTGGTTACAAACTAGAGCTGGATGTTGTGGTTTTCTCAGGACATTCCCATCTTGGTCTGTTGCTTAAAAAAAATTAAAAAAACCCCCTCAGTCTCACCTAAAACTGAAGATTAAATACTTATATTTAATTTTGCAATCTCTTCTGCATTTCTTGGTTGTTTTTTTTTTAATCTTGAGTAAGCCCTTTTGTAAGAATTTTACGATATACTGTCTAGAGAAATATTTATCTCTGAACAGATCTTCATCAAAACTTTTTTAAACTTTCTTGGACACACCTAATTTTCTCAAATGAACAATCATGAGAATTTTAAAGCAGCATAACTAGAGCCAAGGTTATGGATCATATCAACTGGCAATGCATGCTTCAAACTGTACATTAGTGGTGCAATAATGCAACTAAGTTTTTGGTGGATGATGAAATTTGTGAAAGTATTTCTTCAGTAGATTGGTGGTAGACAGTGGATCATTTATGATGATTCCACTCTGTGGTTAGTGCAATTACATTCATTGTGTTTATTTTCTTTCCTTTAGTGCATGGTTCTTCTCTCTCTTTGGTGTCCAGTACATCATCTATTTATTCCACAGTGAGTATAATGAAGAGTTTATTTATTCATCAGAATTATTGAATTGACTGGTCTTGCTGTGCTAGTTTTGCCATTCAAAGAGCAGGAAAAAAGCAGGTTTCATTTGACTGTGTTCTGAATGCTAGCTAGGAAAGGAATGTTTATGTTCTTGAAGATGCCTGTGGATATTTAGCAGTATCCTCATTAAAGACTGACTTCAATGGCCTGAAAGCAGCCATTGATTTTTTTGAGTCTGTGTTTTATGCTGTGCTAAGTAGGTTTTGCTACAAGGCACCTCAGTGGATAATGAGGAGATTTAAACTTCATTACTTTTAGCATCCCAAAATTTGCTGAATAGTCATCCCATCCTTACATTAATGATTTGCTGCTAAAGAAGTTCAAGTCCACTTTGTAGTGTGCAGATATTAATAATTCTTTAAAAAGGCCATTTAATCGCTGTGCCAGTTACATTTTCTCCACAAGCATGTATTCATTTTGGTTATCTGATCCTAAAATAAGGCTTACTGGAGTTTGAAAATACAGGGGAGCACTCAGAGCTTCAGGTTCTTGTGCTTGCTGCACAAGTGGCCCCAGTAGTGTTTGGATGGGTGTAATTTTCCTGGTGGCTTGTAGTGGGCATGTTTACTTAGAAAGAGTGGAGTGTGTGACTTCCTACCCCATACTTCCCCTTAGCTGACCACTGGGGTTAGAAACAGGCCACAGTAGCCACAGTTCTGTCATGCTGACCACAGTGGATGGTCAGTACATCCACTTGGCATCCTCACAGCTGGCTGTGTGTCCTCACTTTTTCATTGCCACAGTGCCTAGGCAGCACCCAAGTGGGAGGAATTTTTAATTTTTTTTTTTTTCACATCACTTTGGAATGCAAAAATGTGATCTCCTTCCCATGGATGGCTGAGCTTGGGATGAAGGGAATTGCCCAGGATTGGCCTAGTTCTGTGGCAGTCCTGGTTCTTCAGAGCCTCATGCAGTCCCTTATGGACAGAGCCAGGACTTCTTCACGTTTCCATGGTTGAGATCAGAGGTGCACTGTCCTGCTGGCTGGGAGGTGGAGCCCAAATTCCTTCCTGCAGAAGGAAGTACCTCCAGCAGCCTATTTTCTTTTTCCTTAAGAGTAAATAAATTAGGAGATTAAATTAGACTGAATACGGATGTGTGAATTCAAAATAAGGAATTCACATTAGTGTTTTTGAAATACAAAAAGAGAATTTGCATAAATTTGTCAGGCTGGTTATGCTGTAATATCCTCACATACTTCTTTTTATTTTACAGCCTGAAGAGAAGTGCCAGTCAGAGGTAAGAGCACATCCTCTTTGACAAGCATAAATGACAGTGCACTGTGTGTCTTGCTGTTTTATTTCTCCCTGTTATGATGCACTAAAGTGCTCTCTTAAAACCCACAGATTCGCAAGCTGCGGAGAGAATTGGATGCATCCCAAGAAAAAGTGTCAGCTCTGACAACTCAGCTGACTGCTAATGTGAGTACAACTCTGAGAGCAAACATTAACCTGGAATGCATTTAATGCAACAATTACCACCCAGTTGTTTTTTAAAGTGACAAAAAGATTTCATATACATAACATTCAGTTCGTGTTACTGATGTGTTTAAAGAATAACGGCATGCATGTGTGGAACATGTCCAAAAATAGCATTCTCTGCCCTACTGAATTATCTTACACCTTTCTTTAAAAACTGAGTTATAATATTAATTTGGCTTTGTATGTATGTGAGCTTTCTTAAGGTCTTGAGCAAATCATTGAGGACAGGGTCTTTTTTTATAAATAGTGTCTTGCTTTGACATTTGGATGGGATGAGATACAGATAAAGATTATAATTGATAGGACTAAAAGTTAAGAGTAACTTGGACTGAAATGCATTATGTTTTTCTGTTGCATAAAGATGTGGGTTAATGGCATGATAGATAATACTGGCATAAGGGGTGCTGGAAACTAATTTAAAGTTAAGCAGTGTAGACAATAATTCTGCTTGTTCCTTTCAAGAATTTCAGGGATAAGTAATTTAAGACACTCTGGGAAAAAAAATACAGGAATCCAGGAGGTGTTGAGGCAGTACTGTATGACCCTGAGCAAGTTTATTTGTGTGTTCTGTGCTACAGTCACAAATAGCAGGAATCTGCAATACAGAAGCTTGCAAGGAAAATAAGCAATTCTAGAGTAAATAAGCTGCAGATGAATAGTCAGCAGATCAGATCATACTGACATCCTGGTTTATGGGAATGAATAAACATCAGAACATGTGCTGCTTGAAGGGGACATTCCTGTCCATCAGCTCTCAGAATTAGGGGAGAGCAGAGCTTGGGACAGGAAAGGACAGGTTTCACCTGAGCAGTATCACAGGAAAGGTTCCAGGGGAAATCTGTGCTGTCCACTGCAGGCATCACAGTGCTTCACCCAGCTTGAAAATGGGGCTGAAAACCAAGAACACAGTTACAACAGAGAAGTCAAATAAAAAGCCTTTGACTGCATGAAACCACTTAGTCACTGTCCCAAGAGGAAAAAAAAAAAACAGTTTAAACATCTTTCAAAAGTTAAATCTTGTATTTGCCTTTCAAATACAAAGGGGATGGATACATGAGTTGGTTTTCCCCTGGAAGTTTCTTTACTTGTGGGAAAGCAGGACCAGATTCTCTTGCACAGGTTTTTAATGATGTTGTTAAATAACCCAGCTTGTGTCCTTCAAACAAAGAACTTGTCAGCTGAGCAGCTCATTTGGCTCTGCCTGGGCTTTATTGCATTCTCCTCCCACAGTTCAGGGTCACTGGGCTGGTGCTCAGCACAGGCTGCTCACTGCCTGGCCCAGCTGCTCTTCATCTGCCCAAGAATTTCTGTGTGGTTACTACCACTCTCTTTGTGGAGAACAGTTTTTAATGTACACTCTGTATGGTTTTGGTTGGATTGGGGTCATTTGGATTTTTGTGGTTTTTTTTCTTGTGGGGTTTTCTCGAACAAAAAGAAAAGTTAGCATATCACTAATTATTTTGATAATATTCCATTTTTGCTTAGTTCACTTTGCTAAAATTTTGCAGTGTTTTATTCATGCTATTTAAACTTCTTAGACTTGAGCCTGCCCCTGATTTGTCCATAAATTGGCAACAGAGATGTTGCTATAACTGTCCTAGTATTAAATTTCAGTTTCTAGCCACCTCTTTCCAGAGAACGTGCCCTTTTTCCATGTAAAAGACAAGGTCTGCTCCCAAAAAGATTGAGATTAATAAATGCTGTTAGTTAAGATACTTGAACATTTGCTTTAGACATGATTCCTTTAATAAAAGGCAATTAAAACTTAGACAATTCAAATTAATCCCTTCAATTTACAATTTTTTTCCTGGATTTCTTTGCATAGACACTGCATTTGTTGATGCTTGTCAAGCCATCAAGAGCATGAATTTGGAAACATTTTGCTTTAGCTATAGAAAGTGAAGATACATTATTTTCCATAGCTCACTGAACGATTTTGAGATAGGAATAATTGCAATATCTGGTTTTGAAAGAGCAACTAGTTTTTAAGGCTCAGATCAAAGTATTAAGGGTTTGTATCCTGTTACTAATCCATGCAGTCCTGCTTGCCCATTTATTTTTTGCTTTTGAAAAGTATTGCTGAGGATCCCTGAATATCAGCTTTGTTGTTCCCTGTTCATCCTCCCCAACAGAAGCTGTGCACTCTGTGTTTTTAAAATAAATATTTAGATTTTCCTACGTGTGTAGTGTTAGGTTTTGAATTACTTCTTGCCATTTTCTCACAGTCTCAGCTCTGCTTATTTTCATAGGGGCTGATGGGAATGAGAGTGCACATCCCCTTGTTATTGTACTGCTCATGTTTGTTTTCATTGTGAATGTGAGAACAGTTATTTAGGATAAGTCAACTGTGTGCTGCTGCTGAATGAGTCTGGAGTAGCTCTCTGAAAGGTTTTGCTATTCTGTATTTTTTTAGGCGAGAAAATGTCTTTTCCTGCTTGGAAAGATTTTACAATTTTACTCGTCATTGTGCATAAAGAATTATTTTTAATAGATAAATAAAGCTATTTTTTTCTATGGTTAGTGTAGATTATTGTGGCTACTGCCACAAATACATATTGAAATATACCTGTGATCAGTTATGTGTGCACATGCATATGAGTAGCCATGAAACAGTGCCATGTCAAGGCCTTAAAAATACAGTTTCTGACATTCTTTTCCATCTTTTCAATCTACTTATCCTTCCTTTTGCTTCTCAGTCATTTTCAATTCCTAGCTGATGGTTTTCATTTAATGGACACAGTGTTCTCCGTACTTCCTGGGAAAAAGATTCAACATTCTTGTCCCAAGAAGCACAGAGAAATCTTTTTTTTCTTTCCTTTGGAAAAGATAAAAGGAGAATTGGCCAAGCAGCAGGAATTTTGGATGATATGTAACAAGCTGACCTTGGTTGGAAGCAAGGTGCACTGAAATATTGGAGAAGTCTTTGAGTTAGATGCTGGCAAAGCATCTGTTCTCCTGGTGGGATAAACACAGTGAGAATCTCCACCCCTGGGACTGCCAGCATCTTCTTGCCTTAATTATCCACAAGGAAAATAGTGATTTCGTTGGAAGGAAGTTTCTGCCTGACTTTTCTCTATACAAAAACTTGATTTATGTTTTATTGTTGGCGAACATGTCTATAATGTGTGCTCTACTATTTGACCTTTTCTAAGCAATGTTGTTTTCTCTGCACCATTTACACAACAAACTGAGTGGACTGATTAAATACCTGCAGAAATACTCCTTTTTTGGGGGAAGAGAACAACCTCCTCCTGTGTGGTTTGATTTCAGGCTCACCTGGTGGCAGCATTTGAGCAGAGCCTGGGGAACATGACGATCCGACTGCAGAGCCTGACCATGACAGCAGAACAAAAGGCAAGCTTCAGAAGGATTTGGGAAGCCTTCATTTCTATTTCCAGCATTTTTGCCCGTGCTCCTTCTAGTTGTGTGGGGGGGAAAAGTCACAATTTGCCTTAGTTCCCTCATTTGTGGGGACAGAGTAAAATGTAATAAATAATTTGTATATAAAACACTCATTTTCTGCACTGGGATTTTGTGGCAACTGATCAGGTTGTTCCTATCAATTGTTGCTTTGGGCATGAGTTTTCAGTATTGCATATTTCTGTAATATATTTCATCCCAGTGCATCCATACATGGGCATGTTTGAAAGAAACACCAAGAAGAGTACTTACAAGACTGGCAGCATTGTGGTTTTGGACAGTGTGCTTGAATAGACATTATTTCTGCATTACAGAATACATGCATTTTTTCTATCACAATACCGAAGCTGCTTTGCACCCTGTTGAGGGTGTGCATCCCCAGGTATCCCAAATCTCATTTTCACCTCCTTGTACATATATATATATTCCATGAATTCACTGTGAACTACCAAAACTTAGGAAAAGCAGCTTCTTTGGAGTTCTTCTCCCATGTACTGTCATATGGTTTATTTTCTTTATTCAAGGACTCAGAACTGAATGAGTTAAGGAAGACAATTGAACTCCTGAAGAAACAAAACGCTGCTGCTCAGGCTGCCATCAATGGAGTCATCAACACACCTGAGCTCAACTGCAAAGGTGAGAGACAATATAGGCAGAGAAGAGACTCCAGGCCTCTCCAGTGGGACTTCAGTCCTCTGGGTAATAACTGATGTAACCATCAGAGTTACTGAGACACCAGAGTAACCCAGTAATTTACACTGGGATAAATTGCTGAAGGAAAAGTTTGAAGCATCTCAGATTTTAATCTCGTCGCAAGAAACAAGGATTTGAAATACACAATACATCCATTGGGATAAGTGATTGTCCGAGTGCTGGTTTCCCTAAATGTTTCTTCAGGATTGCATGATTAATACCATCCATCAAATTTCCCAGATAATTTTGACAGTGCCTCCATTCACATGCAGGTCCTGGAGCTGCTCAGCCCACGGACCTGCGGATCCGGAGGCAGCACTCCTCGGACAGTGTGTCCAGCATTAACAGTGCCACCAGCCACTCCAGCGTGGGCAGCAACATCGAGAGTGACTCCAAGAAAAAGAAGAGGAAGAACTGGGTGAGTGTGTTTTAGCAGGCTGTGTGAGGTTTATGTGAAATTGTCAGGACATGCACGGTGAAATCCACCTGGCTGCTCCTTCAGCAGGTCAGCACAAGGACTGTGTGCTGCCTAAATCCAGGGTAAACTCTGCTTTGGAGGCTTAAATGAGTTGTAAGTTGTGTTGACTCTGCATAGGATTGAATTTAGCTTGACAGCTAAAAGGCCAGTCTTAAATTAGAAATAGTTGTCAAAGATCAGTTCTGGCTAAAGGGGTGTCAGCCCCTTAAGGAAAATGTGGCATCTGTCGTTAAAGTAAAATAAACCCACAAGAGCAGATCATTCTTGTGGGTTTGTTTTTTTTTTTTTCTAATCTCGTAGGACTTTCTTATAAGTGAACATATTAAACACTTCAAGAACTCTTTGTTCAGCATTAACTTGGAGTTCTAAGAATTATATTTAAAAAACCCACCGATTTTAAAAACGTTTCATGACAAACATCTCTTTAGGAAGTTTTTGCATTACTTACCTGTCATTTCCCATTTTTCCCTCTTTGCTCATCACGTACTATGTACAAGGTACCCTGTACTGGAGGAAAGGTACATTATCTTCAACTCCATTTCCAGTTAGACCATAACTGCCTTAGTGACCTAGTCTGATTGTAGTTTGGACTGAAGTCCCTAGATCCTTTATTGTAGCCAGTAAAACAATCCACCCCTTTCTTCCCATTGAGTTTCAATTCCCCGGATCTCTTGAGTGTACAGATAAATCTGTAGAGATGCAAAATGTGGTTAGACCTGATAAAAGCTTCATTTGTATTTGCACAATATCCTCTCAGAAATGTTGATGAAACTCCTGAACTGTAAGAAAGAGCTTCCTGAACAACTTCTTTTTATTTCTCTCTTATCTCAGAGGTTTCATTTTGGTTGCTCTTGATATTGCCAGCTGCTTCACAAAAGAAGCATTTCCACTCTGCTCCTTAAATAATTGGTTGAATGGAAACAACATCTTCTCCAAATCCTTCTTGTGCTGTACAAGTATATAGACAAAGTAAATGGCTATAATTTTTAAATTTCTAGCAACCCTTAGTTTGTGACACAAAACTTTTGTAGTAAGTTAAGATAACCACTTTTTTAAATTCTTGTTTCACTTCAATTCTTTGTTATTGTAACCTAGTGGATATGGTCCTACATCAGGCTACATTTCTCATTCATCAGATAACTATTTTTGAAGAAGGTTAAGGGAACGTTTCTTTATTATAAAGACAAAGCTTTCATTAAGTAGAAGAAACAGGAAAGTATTTTAAGGCTGTTACTAAAAATTCATTGCTGTGAAATGAAGATTGGAAATTAAAACACTATGGAGAAGAATGTGTGAGTTGAATCTGGTTCACACATTCTTTATTCCACCAGTGCTGAGGAAATTCTCAGCCAAGATCTTAGTGTTCTTTGTAGAAGCAATGCAGCTGTCCATTCAGAGCTGAAACATCAAATTTCCAACATTTCTCGTTGTAGGAGTCTTTGTCTAGCTTAAAAACAGCTTTAAGCCAGCCTGTGTACAGTATGTAATTTGCAGTGGCATTAGAAGGTAGAGACACAGTATCCTGAGTGGGAAGGGAACCATGAGCATCATCAAGTCCAGACCTTGATTCCATGGGGGTTTAACTTTTAGGGCTCCCTAAAAGTGTAACCATTTATCTAAGAACATTGTCCAAATGCTTCTTGAACAGTACCTGTTAAATTGTAGCTTTGGGGTAACATCACTTTAATGACATGAATATTAATTCTTGTTTGAAAAATGGCAGTCACATTACAGAAGGTTATTTTAGTTGCAGGTAGGTAGAGAATTTGCAGTCTTTTCACATGGTGAAATACCTATTCCTGCAAGGGAAAATACATTATTAACTTGGCTCTTAGCCAGAGCACTCTGCCTGAGCAAAAAGAGAAAATGTAATTTAAGAGAGTTTGGCTCTGGTGTCTTCCTCAGGTAATGCAAAAAAATGCCCATATGTGGTTTGAGACACCTGGTTTTGGAAAATACAGGGTTCCAGTTTTAAAGTAACTGTTTGTCTTTGTTAATCATTGGTCGTGTTTGTCTTAGAAATCCAAAACTTCCCTTATTAGTGGCTTTATCTGTTAAAACATGTCTTTTTTCCTTCCCCCACTTCCTTTTGCTTGCACTTCTTCCGGCAGGTCAATGAGGTAAGGAGGACCTACTTTAACCTTGGAGGTACAAAGCTAACACACCATTGACACCACTAACCCTCCCAGCACCATTAACCTGGGCTGGGCCCTGTGCCAGCACAGCTGCAAGCTGTCACCACGCTGCTCTAAAGCTTGTTGCACTGAACAGAGTTTGCTGTCAAATAGCTCTTAAAAAATAGGAAGCATTCATAGCCACTCCTATTGACCTTATTAATCTGATAAAATAGTTAAGGAAAAAAAAAAGCTTTTTTATTTTTTACCTGTGTTACTATGTATGTGAGTATGGCTGTAGCATCTGGAGTATTTGCATGTTGACAGTTTTTACTCTGTGGCTTTTTTTTGCCTGGTTTCATTCTTAATGATGGACCTGCTGCTGTGGTCTTGTTTTTTTTCCAGTTACGCAGCTCCTTCAAGCAAGCTTTTGGGAAAAAGAAATCTCCCAAGTCAGCATCTTCTCATTCAGACATTGAGGAGATGACTGATTCTTCCTTACCTTCCTCACCAAAGCTGCCACACCACAACACCACTGTTTCAACACCACTGCTGAGAGCTTCCCATTCCAATTCCCTGTAAGTGATTTCTGTAATTTTTAGACAGAAAACAGCATGGAAAGCATCTTGCTGCGTTGGTAGAGGAAAATCAGAGGACAGAAATGCTGAATTCATGTATTCAGAGATTTAAAGATGTATGAGCTGACTCCCAACCCAGTACCTTTGCATTAGTGTCCAGGAAGCCAAAAATCATTCCATCAGTGCTGGAGTGTAAATATTTCATTGGGTTGCTCTCTCAGCAGAATGTACTGAGTATCAAGAATATTTATAACCAGGGTGACTTTGAGGTACCAAATTAATTGGATCTCTTGCTATTAATTAAACAAACCTGGTAAAATCTGGGAATTTCTCTTGTCTAAACACAGCACATATTGTATTAATCTGATACTGTGATAAGTTCCCAGTTCTATTGACAAATTCAGATAAAGGAAAGGAAATCAAACACTGTGGTTTAGTGATATGGGTGAACTCATCTAACCACTTGTGCCTGGTGGATGGAGATGATCCACCCCTCTTTCCTTCTGCAGCTCCCCAGTCTCCTGTGCCTGGTCCTTTCCATGGCCACCTGTGAAATAAAGCTTAACAATTCTCTTGCCACACTGTTTTGAGTCTGAACTCACATTTTAGAACGTGCGTGGAAAATTTAGTAAAACAGCTTTTATGTTAATTCCATCAGTAGCTTTGTCACTTGAGCAGGATAAATAATAACACAAAGTTGTAACAGGCAGTACTGAGAAACCTGTAATTACCAGACAGCCTCCTGACCTTGGGAGGTCATGCAGATCTTCCAGCCTGATTTCAGAACAAATGCTTTGGAGTAGTTCCCCTCCACTTGTTTTCACATGAACAGGTGAAAACAATAGAAATAGTTTCCAGCTTTATAACAGTGATGAAATGTCAGTAGCAGAAGATAATCCCCCATGATTTTTGTTTCAAAGCTTCTTCTGTCTCTCGAGCCTAACTCAGTGCATTTCTGGTGATTACAGCAAGTTGTGCTTTAGAACTCTAGGACAGAAAATTGTCAAATGATGATCCCATCTGTCATCAGCCAAAATGCTGTGTGGGTACATCTCACCTTGCTATGGAAGCCAAAAGGATAAACATGAACAGAGAGTAAATATGTGGTGAACTGGGGGAAGGATAGAGCACCAGTAACACTGGTGTGTTTTGGCTGATTGGCTTTTTGCTCTCATTAACCTGATTTAGGGAAAGACATGTTAGGTAAAATCTCCCTTAAAGCTCACAGCTGTGTAGTTGATCTTTATACAGATACAGTTTCAAATGTGCTGAAATGTTGTTACTCACTCAGGAACTCTTTCTTTTTGTGGGCGGAGGGAATTAAAATGCCACCAAAAATTTTTTAAGCATGAGTTCTTTAAAGCAAGCAGGAATTTATCATGCTTGAGTAGGTGTAGAGTTCCAAAGCCCTCCAGAGCAGTTCAGGGAAACCCAGCTGTGCACACCTGGTGAGCTTTAAATCTGTCTGTGAACTCATCAATCTCCAACCAACTGTTGTTAAATGCCTGCACCCCCTTAATTTATTTAGATTTTTGCTTTAGAAGTTTTCCTTTATGGCAACTGCCATGAAAAAGGTGACTATCCAATAGCAGGCAATTCCAGATAATTCTGTTTCAGATGCTACTTAAAGAAGAATAACCCTCAGACATTGTTTCATCAGAGTCTAAAATTTCCGTGGCCCGTTTAATATCTGATTTTATGATACCGCTAATTCAATAAATGGCTACCTGCTTCGAGCAGAGCGAAAAGGGGCTTTATTCCTCTCCTCCCAACAAACCCTGGAGAAGCAGCGCGAGGAGAGGAACGAGCGTGTGTTTGTCCGTGTCGCGCAGCATCTCCGAGTGCACGGACAGCGAGGCCGAGACGGTGATGCAGCTGCGCAACGAGCTGCGCGACAAGGAGATGAAGCTGACCGACATTCGCCTGGAGGCGCTCAGCTCCGCACACCAGCTGGACCAGCTGCGAGAGGCCATGAACAGGATGCAGGTGAGGAGCAGCCACCCCACCCCGCGTCCTCTGCTGCTGTGGCCGCCCACCCCCACAGGAAAGAGCAGAACTTTATGAGTTGCTTGCTAAAGGCTGTGTTTTGCTTCGTGCCGGTGTTAAACCTTCAGTAAAAGTCAGCTTGAACACCTGACTTTGCTGCCCTCAGCTGCAGCTGTTTCAACCCCAAGATGGGGACAGCATTTTGTTGGCTGTCAAAATGTTTGCATGCTCTCTGCCTTAAGGTAGTTGCATTTCGGTATCTATATCCACATCCATATCTATATCCATATCTATATCCATATCTATATCTATATCCATATCTATATCCACATCCATATCTATATCTATATCCACATCCATATCTATATCCATATCCATATCTATAACCATATCTATAACCATATCTATATCTATATCCATATCCACATCCATATTCATATCCATATCCACATCTATATCCATATCTAGATATTTTAGGATACTTCAAAAAGTTTCACAGAAAGGACATTGTAATAATTAAATTCCTTAATTAAAATGTTATGGAAACAGCTTTTCTGCTAAGCTACCATTTATTCTTAAGTTTCTTCTGTTGCTCTCTTATTATAATGTTTTCACTGTGCCTTCTAATGTCTGACTTGTCTTTTCAAGAGTGAGATTGAGAAGTTAAAAGCAGAGAACGATCGGCTGAAATCTGAAAACCACGGCAGCTGTAGCCGGGCTCAGTCTCAGGTTTCCATCTCCTCCTCTCCCAGACACTCTGTGGGACTCTCTCAACACAGCCTGAACCTCACGGAGTCAACCAGTCTCGGTGAGTTTAATGGGAAGGGTGCTGGGACAGGTTTTATCCTGCACTTGGAAAGCTTGGGTTGGTTAGCCATGGAAAAATGAAAGCGTGAGGATTATTAACAGCTGAGGTGTGGAAATATGTCACGAGCTGGCACAAAGCCTTCTTTTAAATATCATCGTAGGTCTGCTACACCCTCGGTCAGAGGTGTCCAATTATGACCTCAGCTCTGAAAAGTCATGTTTAAAGCCATTTAATGGTGCACATTTGCCAGGGGATATATCATAGAAAGGAAAATACAGAGTAACTGGTTAATAATTTTCAATGACCTTCCCTTTTTAAGAGAGATGTATGTTGGGGGAAATCAGTCAGCCTGGTTCTTGTGTTTTACCTTGGGGCATGTGAAGCCCAGACGTGTTGTGTTTGACTACAATAAACCAGAATAGCCTCCATTGTAATTGAGCTCCAGCTGTGAAGCTGTTGATGTTTCCTGTCCACAGATATGCTGTTGGATGACACTGGGGATGGCTCTGCCCGGAAAGAAGGAGGCAGGCACGTCAAAATAGTTGTCAACTTCCAGGACGAGATGAAATGGAAGGAGGTGAGTTGTGTTTCATTAGCTTTGAAATGTGACTTCGGCTTGTGTGAGGGCATTCAAGTTTACCAAGGACTTTTAAGAATTTTCTCAGGAAAACAGTTCATTGGTGTGTTAATAGTGATAGAGAAGGCACTTGGCTGCCTCCAGCTTCCTTGGAGCTGCTGAGAGAGACTAAAATGCCAGAGGCACCAATCTTATGGAAGAACTTGACAAATCCAAACTGGGAGATCTATACCATATCACTCTAGTTTAAGCTGTTCTCTCTGACACAAGTACCCTGTTTAAAATGACATCCTTCAGATGTTTTCCATCCACAAGTACATGAAAGAACCCTAAATACCCAAATGAATTGCAGATACTGTAAAGTTGTGTCCCATCTTGTGTGTTTAATGTACAACATGCATGACTGTATTACACAGGCTTGGCCAAGCAATGGCCTTGTTATCTCACATTTTTCAGTACCTGTAAAAGTATGTTTAAGAAGTAACTTCATGTCTTCCTGAGGACTGGACAAAAATCTGAATGATCAGAAATAAAGTGGACTTAACCAATCTTTCCATTAAATTTTGCATGAGTTATTACAGCACTGGAAAAACAGTAAAAATGCTGCTGATTGACTGCAGTCAGAGCAAGTTTTAGTAACACTTCAAATCTTATGACAGAAATTAGCTTTCTCTTCAATTATGTTTCACAGTGAATACAGCTGTAGAAAAACAGAAAAATTCTATTTGTCTGATTTCTTTTATCTGCCTTAAAAATCACTTGTGAAATTCAAAATGCTATGATACATCAAATACAGAAATATAAACTCTCTTTCTATGTTACTACTTTTACTTAGAGACTTGTATAATTTATATATATATATTTAGGTTTCTATGCCCACAGCAAAATTTCTAGAAATAAATAGGATAAACCTTACAAATGTAACATCTTTGACTGTGAAGTCATGGAAAAATGAACTTGACTACAATATTGCTAAGAGTTTTTCTGTCTCTTTGCTAAACTGTAATTCTCTCAGAGATTTTTGAATTGTTCATGGATTGATTAATAAATACCTTTAATTAACATCACCACCACCTGAGCATTCTTTAGATTTGTGACTCCAACAGTGTAGAAAATATTTATCATGTGAGAAGGATTCCATGTGCCATTCAGAATGATTTAGAAATAAAAGGGGAGGGGGCAGGGAAGCCAGCATTTTAATTACATTAACCACATTTGTCTGATAGAGTTATTCCTGTGCCTTTAGGACTCCAGGCCTCGCACCTTCCTCATCGGCTGCATTGGAGTCAGTGGGAAAACCAAGTGGGACGTCCTGGATGGGGTTGTGAGACGCCTGTTTAAGGTCAGTGGGTACAAAATGCTGTGAGCTCGAGCTCTCCTGTAGGGTTTTGATGGCACCAAGCTGTGTTTAACTTTGTGCATTAAGTGCTGTCACAGCAGAGAACAAAGCCTGACTTCCTGAGTCCCTTTTCCATGGCAGGAGTACATCATCCACGTGGATCCTGTGAGCCAGCTGGGGCTGAACTCAGACAGTGTTCTGGGCTACAGCATCGGGGAAATCAAGCGCACCAACAGTGCAGAGACCCCGGAGCTGCTGCCCTGTGGGTACCTGGTTGGAGAAAACAACACCATCTCAGTCACCATCAAAGGTAATTTCACCTGGCCTGCCTGGTGGAGTTTTCACTCTTGAGTTTCATCAGAGCTTGCTGTGTCAAGAAACTCAGAGGAGTAGAAGTTTTTATTGCACTGCTTTTTCCTGTTCTGACCGTTTATTTACTTCCTGCTATTTTCACTTGATAAAGTCACCACTTGGGGTATGCTAAGTCTGTGATTTCAGCGAGTTTTCAACCTGTAACTCTAGCAATAATTACACACTCCACAGATCTTGATTTGTCCTGGAGAAGACTTCACACCACAAGGGATGTAGTGGAGTTGTTTGAGCAACAAAGTGCTCTCCAAATGGTCAAGCCTCAAAATTTCATTAGCTTTTATCACAGCTATAGTTGTTATTTCCTTCATGCAGGGTAAAAAAAAAAGAAAATCTTGACGTCTTTGCTTGATCAGTCTCACCAAAGGGTCCCTCCTTAAGTACCAGGAAGGAGGGAGACCAAATTTTATGCAACACCTTAAAATCTGGATTTTTCAAAATGTATGGTTTTCAGAATTCCCATCAATTTCTTTATGTAATACTGATACAAATTTAGTATTTGTGTTTCTCATTTGGTTTCTCAGGGAAGCACTTCTTAAATGAAAACTATAATATGAAACTAAGTTAGAGTAAAACCCTCAACTGCTGCATTTCAAATGTATATCAGTTTGCTCAAAGTTAGACCAGTGAAATCTGCAGACAAATGATATTTGAGAGCAGTGCCAAACATTCTTCAGATCAGCTTTGAAATTTGACTGAAAGCAGATTTTTAAATATTGGTGTAAAAACCAAGTTACCTTGTATAGCAAACCAGTGGGCAGGAAGACAAAATAAACTGTGAAATACATCAACTTACTGAGGCTTGACATGAATCCAGGATATTCTACTTATATAAAATGCATTGTCCAGTCATAAATCCTAACTGAAATATTGCATAAGGTCTAACTGTGTCTGTAAAGCTACAATTTGAGTTCATATTTAACTTGCACTGACTTGACTTGTGCCTTGAAGGTTCATAAGTGATAACAGTTTTCAATAAAATTGAAACGTATTTAATCAATTTATGGAAAATCACTTACATATGCCTTTGAGATATAAAGCTGCCTATATAAATATTTAATATTCCAAGTAACCACTGAGGTGCAAACATTTCTCTGGGTGTTCTGCCAACTTCCCTTCCTGCTGTTTATTTTGAAGCACTGTGTATTTTCCCTAAGCCAATTCTGCCTAAAGTGACTGCTGACATGGCATAAATGCTTATCAGTAGGAGTTTTCTGTTAGAGGAGATAACTATCAGCATACAGAGGAGGAGTTTAATTACAAGCATTTGGGAAAGTAGGGGGAGTTGATGATAGCTGGGTTGGTTTTTTTTTGTCTAGTGATCCAAAAGTAAACAGGTACATTGTTGGTGAATGTGTGGTGAAATGCTGTAAAATGGATGGCTGGTTCATGGAAAGTGTGGCCTGGAATCCTTTGGTGTGGCAGCTTCCAGAGGGCCTTAGGGAAGCAGCTGAGGACTTACACAGGCTGGAGGATCCAGGCTAAGCCCACAGGTCACCCCTGCATTTGTTTTCCAGCTTTCTGTGTGCCTCTCTCAACCACAAGCGATACTGGGGTGGGGAAGGGCTTTAGCTCTGAAGTGGAGAACAGCTTGATCAGGTCAGTTTGGCTAAAAACTGGAAATGGCCCTAAAAGAGGCTTGTTTCCCTGCTGCAGGTCTCTGTGAGAACAGCCTGGACGGGCTGGTGTTCGAGTCGCTGATCCCCAAGCCCATCCTGCAGCGCTACGTGTCCCTGCTGATGGAACACAGGAGGATCATCCTGTCTGGCCCCAGTGGCACGGGCAAAACCTACCTGGCCAACCGTCTGTCAGAGTACATGGTGCTCAGGGAGGGCAGGGAGCTGGCCGAGGGCATCATTGCCACCTTCAACGTCGACCACAAATCCAGCAAGGTGAGCACAAGCAAACTGTCCTCGTGCAAAAGAGGAGACCTTTCTTAGTCTGCCATTTTCAGCTTTAAATTCTGTAAGAGCCTGGCAGAGAGATGGAGACTTCAGCCAGCTCTTAAAATGCTGTTTATTGCAGGGACGAGGTCACAGCAGTTGGGGGTTGTGGGTGAGCCTAGAGCTGCTGGCCATAGGCAAGCTGTGTGTCCTGAAACCCCTCTAGTTCTGGTTACAATACATTATATAATTTTCATTACAGAGCATCTTAATACATGACTACCAATCAACATCATACACAATACCTTTTACATTTACATATAACCTGTCCAAACTGCTAAAATTACCATATTGTGTTAGTGACTAGCCAATCATAGTCACACGTTAAACTTTGGGACTTGTTTTGCTGTGGAAATTTCTGAGATCTTTTCTCTACTTGCAACATTGGCTTTCTTGTTTGCCTGTGAAAATCCTTTTGTTTGGTAGAAACATCTTTTGTTTCAGGTGGATTTATCCTTTGCTCTAAGCCATAAAAGCCCCCTCCAACTCACTTGCTCTTTGCCTTCTAGTTACCTAGTAAGACTGGCTCAGCAATTCTTTTCTTCTATATCCAAATTTGCTTTCATTCCTATAGAACCTTCTGTATACTTGCAAAACTCCTCCATTAAATTCTCGTCCTTCCCAAAATTTTCAAAAGCATTATGTTAATCCTGAAGGAAACGGTCTTTAAAGGTTTTCAGATTAAACTGATTATGGGTCTGGAGCAGCAGGCTTCCAGGTGTGTATTTAAACACCTAAAGGTGTCATGGTTTTCAAGTGTTTAGGAGCCTGAGAATTGCCCAGGAAGTTAAACACCTGCATAAAATTCCCAGAGACTTAAGCAATCCCTGTTGCATGTGGGCACTTTTCCCAAAACCCCCAAATGCATCTCCAGGCTGTCAGGAGCTCCTGCAGCTGCAGGTATCAGCAGTTGTAATCATGTGCTGGGTTTGGAGGGGCTGTTGTGCAGACACATTCCTGGGCAGGTAAGGCGTGTCTTTGCTTTTTTATGTGCTGCTGGTTTTGCTGAATATACTTCCAGCAATCATCTAGATTAAAGAAAAGGAAAAAAAAAGAAAAAAAAAAAAAAGCTGTATATTTGATGGCCTTAGGCGTATTTTCCTCTGGAGGAAAGGGATGGTTGAAATTGTGGTTGTAAGCCACTGGTATGATTTCAGACATGCTTTAAAGCTGCTGAGAGCATTTCAACCACTCAGCAGCTGCACCCAAAGCTTATTCTTTTTTCCAGCATTACTGAAGGTGTCCAAATTTGGCCTCTTTTGATGAGGGATGGTTTGTTCCAGATTAATTTTGTCTGCTGTATTTTGATGGAAACACAGTTGCAAGATGATATAATAAATCTATCTGGAATGCTTTGGGAAGAGTTGATCAAGTTCCTGAAAAGAAACAGAAATATATTTTAGACCTTTTAGGTCTGACATTGATGAATAAAAAACAAATACTAAATTACAAAATATTACTCCTCTTTAAGCCCTTATCTCACACAGAATTTCTGGTACAGTCTCTGAGTCTTCAGCATAACCTACAAAAGAGAGGGAAAATCATATCTTGTGTTTCTTGTAGAAAATGTGTGATTTGTTAGATGTCAGACTCTTGCTTTAAATTTTGTTACCAAGCTTATCTGTCTTAATTGATTTTTTAAGAAATGTGAAGAAAAAAAATTTATTTTCTTCTTTTCTTTATATCTGCTTTGCAGGAACTCCGCCAGTACCTGTCCAACCTGGCAGACCAGTGCAACAGTGAAAACAATGCTGTGGATATGCCTCTTGTCATAATTTTGGATAATTTGCACCATGTTAGCTCCCTAGGAGAGATCTTTAATGGACTGCTAAACTGCAAGTACCACAAATGGTAAAGAAATAGTATCAGGACACATTTGCAAATGTTAATCCTGTACTCAGAGCACTGCTCCTGCAAAATCCAATGTCTATATTAATTTAGTTATGTGGAGGAAGATGACCAGGTTGTCCATATTGTGTATAGTGCTTCAGAAGGATCTTTTTCCTCCATAAAATTATCTATTTTTCTGAAATAAGTAATTAAAAAGTAGTTGTATTTGCTTCGTGACATAGATCATTAGTAGTAAAACCCCATTTGTAGTGAAAGGTCCTGTTTTGGGACTTCTGGTTTGCTTTCAGAATTTGACGTTCTCAGAATCTCAGTAGACAATTTGGTCATAAGTTACTACAAAACCTTCTTTGACAAAAGAGTTTTGAATAACCTTTTTTAATGTTCAGGTTTTACTTAAAACTTGGTTTTCAAAGTTCACAAGTTTGATTTGCTTGATTTTTTTCTCTCCCAATAGTCCGTATATTATCGGCACAATGAACCAAGCCACCTCCTCCACACCTAATCTTCAACTTCACCATAATTTCAGGTACTGTTTATTCATGTTTCTCATTTATATTTGTGGGCTGGCAAAGGAGTAGTGGCTACTGAGTCATCTGAAATTGTTCTTATCAGCTGAAATAGCAAAGTGAGAGAGAAATGCCATTTGCTCCTGGTTGCTGCCCTGACATGTGCAGCTTGGTTATGGTGCTGTCATTAAAAGAATGGGGTTCATAAAACTTTTTCTTTACAGAGAATTATTAAGATATTTGATCTTCTAGCAGGTTTTCAGTAAGACAATATTTAGGCAAAGCAGATTAATGAGAAATGAGCTGAAAGAAAGCACAGTAAACATCAGTTCATCCAGTGAAATATTCTACTGAAAAACATGCATGACTGGAATAGCCCATTTTGATCCTGATAATCTGGAAATAAGAAGAAAAATGCAGTCAGGAATAGTTACACTCAGTACAGGGAAGAGAAATAATGGCCATTTCTGCTGTTCTGCCATAGATGGGTGCTATGTGCAAACCACACTGAGCCTGTCAAAGGCTTTCTCGGCCGTTTCCTGAGAAGAAAACTGATTGAAACAGAGATCAGTGGCAGGATGAGGAATGCAGAGCTGGTTAAGATTATTGATTGGATTCCCAAGGTCTGGCAACATCTGAACAAATTCTTGGAGGCTCACAGCTCCTCTGATGTTACTATTGGTAAGTACTCTGCCCAGGCATATGTAAATATATATATTTTATTTGCTTGTATATCAAGTGTGTCTTTGTACACTTCCTTGTGCTTTATCACATAAAAAAGGCTTTCTTTAAAACTCTGCTTTTAGATTACATCAATCCTATTTTTGATGCTTATTGTGATTGTGGTTTGAGTGTAATATCTGAATTTCCCTCTCCAGGTCCACGGCTCTTCCTCTCCTGTCCAATAGATGTAGATGGTTCTAGAGTTTGGTTCACTGACTTGTGGAACTACTCCATCATTCCATATCTTCTGGAGGCAGTAAGAGAAGGGCTACAGGTGAGCAGGCAAAGGGAGAAATCAAAGGTCTAGAATAGCATCTGTTCAAAGGACAACAAAACTCAGTAGTGGCAACACTTTCTGTAGATACACCTTTGCACATTGAATAGCTGCATGTCTATGAAAATATAACTAGAATTGTCAATAATTTCAGGCAGAATTAGTCTCTTCAAGCACTTTTGAAACTGAAAGTGGAAAACGTGGTTAGATGCCAAACTGCTGATGTTTTCAGTGAGGGGAGTTAGACACACAAATATCTTTCAATACTGTGTTCCAAAAGCACACCCTAAAATTATCCTGTGCATCAGAAAAATATGCTTGTGGTCATCAACTTTGTTACACAGGATTTTCTTTTGGAAATCCAATCTTTCAGCATAGGAAAAAGCTGTGCATAGAGAGAATGTATTCATGAGTGACAGGAGCACTATCAGTGACATTTTGATTACTTCTCAGTATATAATTCTGTCTTTTACCTCCAAGTCTGGGGTAAAATTTGGGCAAACCACAACTGCCATTTGAAATTTGCCAGTACTTGGAGACCTCATTTTCTTTGGGATAATTGTGGTAGACTCTTAGACATGAGGAAAACAATAGGTCGTGGAGTACAAAACACACTCAGGAACTTTGCTAGAAATAGAACAGGTGAACCATTTTACCTAAAACTTGTTATAAAAGAAGTTAATGGGAGCCAGAAATCTTTCCAACCTAAAACAAGAGAAAGGAGAGCAGGTGACTGCCCTTGAAATGGAGAAAACTGATACAATAATGCATGGGCTCCTTGTACTGGGTTTTGGAGCTCTCATGTCACTGATCAGTACTTGTGGAAAGCATTGAAAAATTAGTAATGGAAGTGGAGAAAGAGAGAGAGCAATTGATAAAACCATCCTTTTGCTTCCTTGTTCTGCCCAGTATCTCCATGGTTCCTTAGGGTATTTGAGTGGCTTGTGTTCCAGGTGTAAGGACTTCAGTTTCTCTCTTTGTGTTTTAGATTTTTTATCCCCTTCAGTCCCATTTCCCCAAATTGCACTAATTCATCCCTATTTAAATAATTTCTCTTTTGTTTGGTTGATGGATAAGAAGATGCACTTTAGTACTTGAAGAGTAGCCAGAGTGGTGCTAATGACCAAGCTAATGCCAGGAATGTGGGTTTCATCTGGGGCTATTTTCTGTTCCCCACACCCACAAGGACTCCTCTGAGAGCACATCTTTCCTGAAATTGCCTGCCAGAAAGGAAAGGTGGACTCCTAATTTCGCTCTGATCTCTGTGGATCTGCTCTCAGCTATTTTTTGTATTTCTGTTTCTCATTTAGAGAATTATTTTGGGTCAAATACAAACAAGCCAAATGGATCCTTACAATAATTGCTCCCATCGGAGCTGACTTGTTTTGTTCTTCAAAACAGGGGTGTGAGAAGGTTATGTAAAACCCGAGTTCTTCCTGCTTGGTGTACAGAATACAGCACCAGCAGAAAGAGGACCCAGAGTCCCTGTGGCTTCCTGCCACTGTCACTCCAAAAACTTTTCTTTCATGCTTTGTGAAGCAACTTGTTCATCCTTGTCCCATGACTTGCTCCCTGGAAAACGTGCCAGTGGGAGGGGTGGACAGAGCTGGTTGCCATGGAAGAGGATTTTGAGTCATTTAGTCTCTCCTGAGCTCAGATCCACTCAGACTTTTGCAGGAGCAAAGATGTGAAAAATACTTTGCCACTTACCAAATGACACATATCATTGTAAATTTGAGAACAAGATAAGAATAGGAAATCTGATTTGCCACATCTTGAAGCCATTGTGCTGGGAAGATAACAGGGCTGAAGGATGAAGGGTTTGGGCTGTGTTTCAGATTGCCTAGCACCATCTGCTGGCACCTCTGCTCCTTCCTGCTTCACAGGGTTGCTATTCAGAGCAATTTAATACTTTGTGCACGCAAAATCTAAACCCACAAAAAACGTGCCAAGGAGAAATAATATTGTGGAAAGTGAGATAATCCTTGATCCATCAGAGAACTGGTGAATTTCTTTGCTAGACTGTTTTTTTACCCTTGTGCAGGGGCATAAAGGAAGTGGACAGTGACAAAATGTCAGAGACAAACTCTAGTTGCTGAAGGATGTTGATGGTGATATTTATGAAGTGGAAATAAGCGTTTTAAAGCCACTTGTAGTTGTATTTATGCTTTTGGAAGTCATGAGGCATTAAAATGAACGTGTTGTCTAGCTAAGGCACATGGAATATAACGGGGACAATACACTGGGATTCAGTAGCACAGTCTGTTCTGGACAGAAAAACGTTTTTGAAGAAGAGCTTGCCTATTTAGGAACCTGACCAGAGACAAGTGCTGCTGGTGCTTTTTCTTGGTTGAATATGAAAAAAATATGTCTTGAAAATTTCATGGCTTGACATCCATCATTACTGCCTGATGACAGATCTCACATTTCCTCCTCCACATTCCATGGATGGCAGTTTGCAAGGCAGCTGCCAGTACAATCCAGATGTCGGCACTGATGGCTTCTTTTGTGTGCTGACATTATTTAAGTTGACTTAATTAGGTGATGGTATTCTCAGGCATTCCTTCCTTCAGCTGGTGCCAAGAGAAGGGCATTGCAGTCTCAGAGAAGGTGATCAGCTCCTTCCAAATCAGTGCCATGACCAAGGGCTTTGTGTGTCAGTAGGGTGAGGAAAATCCCACGTTCAGCCCTGCTTGCAGAGTGTTTCCTGCAGCCTGAGCCATGGCACGTTCCGTTTGGTTAGGTAGGCACTGGGTGAGGTGGGTGGAATGCTTCACATTTTCTGTGCTCTTTCAGTTGTATGGGAGGAGAGCACCCTGGGAGGATCCTGCCAAGTGGGTCATGGACACCTACCCCTGGGCAGCCACCCCCCAGCACCACGAGTGGCCTCCTCTGCTGCAGCTGCGGCCCGAGGACGTGGGCTTTGATGGCTACTCCGTGGCCCGGGAAGGCTCCACCAGCAAACAAGTTCCAGTGAGTGATGCTGAAGGAGATCCTCTGGTAAGCTCTCATTTCTGGAACAGCAGAACTCTTTCTTTTGCTTTGTTTCTAGGGATTAGAGACAGGAACTGGTCTGTGGCTGTAGACTAATCCCTTCAGTCATCTCATTTTCTCCTTTACTGGCAAAGCTGTGTTTTATCAGTGACTTGAATGCTGCTATGATTTACAGTCAAAGCCTCTTTTCTGAGTCTCAGCTTTATTGACCTCGCTTGTTTCTGCCTTTCCTTCCTTGCCCACTGGCAAAGCAAATGCCACTGTACTGTCATGTGGAGTTCATGTTGTTCCTACCTCAGAATACAAATAATCACGAGCTGCCTTGCCTTTGCAGATGAACATGCTAATGAGACTGCAGGAGGCAGCCAACTACTCCAGTCCCCAGAGTTATGACAGTGACTCCAACAGCAACAGCCATCATGATGACATCCTGGATTCCTCTCTGGAGTCGACATTGTGATCTCTCTCAGACAGAGGTTATTTCCACTTGGCAAGAGCCCTGATTACAGACTCATGAAAAGAACACGTTCCTGGGCTGGGATCTCAGTATTAGAGCTGCAAGAACAAGACACTTGGAGCAATCTTGAACCTGGGTGCAGGCAACCCAAGCGACCTTTGTATTGTTTTTCTTTTGACAGTGATGAGAACTGCACTACTCCTTTGTTTCCTTCTTTTTAGTTGCTGTAAGCTCTCATGCCTAAGATCCTGAAGATGTTAAAATTAATCATCATTACTAAGTCGAAAGGACAGGGGTGAGGGGCAACTTCACAGCTGTGAAGCAAACAGCTTTGTGCCATGTACTGTCTGGAAAGAGAGGGGAGAGGGAATATTTGCCTATGCTGCTTCTGACCAAACACATTTACATGAGGGCTGGACTTCTACCAATCAGCTTTGTGGATTAAATTCAGCTTCATATAGTTCTGGTGCTATAACAATATTGCTTGCCTCGGTGGTAATACTCAGTGAAGGCAAAGCTGCAAAACAGGGAAGTCTGAATCAATATTAAAAGAGGAAAGGAATAAAAAGAAACTAAAACAAAAAGCGCTGCTCTCCTTGCCAGTCTGAGACCTTGGCTTTCTTTCATTGTGTGTTTATAAAGATTATATATATAAATAGGAATATATAAAAATATATATACAATCTGAACAAATCAGGTTTTTTTTTTTCAAACACTGTGTAACAATCAATCCTGCTACAAGTGAAAGATCAGGTAGTCCTTTGCTAGTCAGGGCCCAATTCTCTTCCCACTTACACCCACGCCACCAGCTGAGCTGACTTCTGTGGTGTTTACACCCCACCAATCCACCCTGAGGAGAGGGGGCTTCCCTCCTTCACAGGAGTCAGTGGCAGGGCTGTGCCCCTTGGGGTCCTGCAGCTCCAAAGGACCCTTGGCAGGGCACAGGCATGGTGAGCCCTGTACACAGAGGTGAGCTGCACCCCTGCAAAGGGATGAGTCAGACTTTCAGTTTTTAATTCTTGCCATGAAACGTTACAGCTGTTTTCTAAAAACTTTGGGTTTTGTTCAGAGGTTTCATTCCAATCAGCACAACCATAAGGGGGTTAATTAAAATTCAGCTCTGTGGCAGTTCCAGTGCTGCTCTGGTGACAATACTTACTTCCATTACTTTTCTTTTTAATTGCAAAGTGTAAAAAAAAAAAAGAAGTATTTCAGCAGTATTCAGGTCTGGAAGAAAAAAAGATAAGGTACTGAGTACTGTGTCTTTTGAGTTTAGCTGTGCCATGCTTTTGAGCTGTGGCAGAGCTGTGAACCTGCTTTGGTTTCTCCTCCTCTGTGAACGCACACACCCCTACACTGTCAGTGTTAAGGCTTGTACTTGTGCTGGGCAGCAAGAACACCTCCCAAAGAGTTGCACTTTCCTGGTGACACCACCATGCCCAGCACGGCAGCTGTACCTCAGCCAGCCCCTCGCTCCTCAGAGGGATTTGTGCGAGCCTTGCCAGCTCTCCTTTGGTGCTGACTTTTGAAAGCGATGCCTTATTTTGTACTAATTGTGTTTGATTAAATTAGTGCTGTATATTATGGGATTTTATTTAAAGAAACAGGGCTAAAGTCATCTCTTGAAATATCATAAGTTGCTGTGAATATTGTTTGTATGAGACACTAGAATTTGTTTAAATGTGACAAAAAAAGGAGGGAAATGAGATAATGTTTCAGGTTCATATCAATCTGCAGCTAATAAATCACTGAAGAGCTGTTTTATCCATGCAGGAGGGACAAAAGAAGCTTTTCAACTCTAATAAATTACAGGAATATGCTGGTTTTTCAATGTACAGAAAGAAATCTTACTACAAACACTTTTTCAAGAGCTTATGGGTTTAAAGGAACATAACAGACAAGTTCATGCTTCTGTAGCTCAGCTTGAGAGGATGGTTTTATTATACCTCATGACTTTCTGTAATATAACTGTACTTTGTCTTACTAAGCTGGTCTTGAATCTGCTCCTGTTACAACTTTTAAGTGCTGATGACTTTTTTTTTTTAAAGAAAAATATTGTAAAAGGAAAAATTTAAATATTTTAATGATGGGGGGGAAGAGCTTGGTGTTGTTACTGTTTTAACCTTATGAACTCTGATTTCCTTATTTTACTGAATGGAATAACAAAGGTTACTCAGCCAATTTTCCTAATCCAGTTCTTGGTACTGTAAAAAAAGGGTTAGATCTGTATGGAATCAAATCCATAGCATGCTGATGATGAGTTTGAGAAAAGTTAATTTTTTCCAGTAGTCTTGACAATTCTGCTTCCCAGCACTGACTTTACCTGCTACTACTGTGAATTTTGGTACCTAATCCCCCAACTGAATCCATGCAGACAGAGCATGTGCCTGTAAAAGAAATCCAGTTGCAGGGCTAGGGCTTTAAATAGACTTGATATCCTAGCAAATGTCTCAGTTGCCCTTGAACTGAGTGCTAAAAGACATGTTTAAAGTAGTGTTTTATTTGTGGGGAACGGGGTATTTTTTTTTTCTCATGTTTAATCCTGTGCTTAAGCTCAGGAAGAAATTTCTATTATCTGTTCTTTTTTATTGACACTAGTTTGGCTTAAAGTGAGAGAGGCAATTTTGAATAGGCTAGTCATTCTGAGCATCACAATATTCCGTGTCTTTTCTGAAACTTCGGGAAGCAGGGTTACCTGTTGTACACACGTCTTAGTTTTTATCAAGACTTTTGTAGATTAAGTCTTTCTTTAGGTGACTTCCTTCTCATTTAAGGCTTTTTCAAAACACTTCCTGGGTTTTTTTCTTTTTTTTTTGTCTTTTTTTGCCTTCTTTCTCCTCCTTACAAAGTTGGCTTGTTTTAAAAAATATCAACAAGAAATGCAAGATTCTATGCAACATTCATGTTGAGTTATAAATTGAGAGAATAAACCATTTTCTTTCCTTCACAACTGCCAAGAATGATACAGGCCATAAATGAGATGTGGTTTATTTGGGGAAGGGGAGGGAGGGGGTTGGTTAGCCTTTTTGTACATTTTGAAAGAAGCAGACTTGATATTTCATTGTTGATGCTTAACTTCGATATTATGTGTATGAAATCTTGTCTAAATGTGGCAATTTTCTTTCAAGAAAAAAATAATATACAAAAACAGAGCAAAAAAAATCTTTGTTGATATTAAATGGAAGGTTGCTGTTTTGATCTAGTCGTTTCCAGTGGAACAGTTTATGAAATATGTTCTATAAGATGTACATTTTTTCATTGTAACATAGAAATGTAAATATTTGATTAAAAGTGCTGCATTTTGATGAATTTTTTCTAGCCATTTTTAAAGAGAAAACTAGGAATTGAGTATTTTGTGTACGTTTATGATGTTTTCCATTTGCTCCTCTCCCTATTTAATTTTCAGTTCTCATTTAGGATTGGAATTTGTGAATGGTCTGTTTGAGATCATGCCTCCCCTTTCTCACTCTCCCTGTTTCTACCCCTTCCCCACCCCATGTCATGGAGAATAAAGCTGATGATTGTACCAGTCTTAAATTATTCATGATTCAATAAAATTGATGCTTATTTATTCAGATTTGTGGCTTCCCAGAACTTTTTATCCCTTCCTAATCACCATTTTATAATTTCTCCTTCATGGCAAATAAATACTCTGACTAAAAAAAAAGCAAAAGTTCTCTATTCAGAAAGCATAAATGCAAACACCTCTGCACTTTAAGGTGTTTTGTTTATTTGTCCTGGAGACTTTCTTGGTATTCCTGCTTTTTTGACAGTTCTTTGTCCACTTATCACCTATTTGAATGATTAATCTTGGTAGGACAGATTCACGTGTAGAAAACTTCAAAGAAAGTAGAAGAGAAGTTCTGCTGAAAACTGGTGACCTTTGTTTAAATTTGTTCAATCCAAAAATACTCGTAAATGGCACAGCAGTGTAAATGGTGAATGGTAGCTCAGAGTTGATCTTAGTGTGGACATTGTCCTCCACAGCAGTTTTCCAGGGGCAGAATTCCTTTGGACGTGCTCAAGCACATTTTTCTGTGTTCTGTAAACTTCCTTTGAGTCACAGAATTGCATGTCTTAGAGTTGGTCTTGGATAATGCTTCAGCCATGATCTTGGACAATTTTTGAATCCATACTGGACTGCCAAAATGTTTATTATCTCTTAGGAATTCTTCCCTTCCTTTCCTTTTTCAGCTGCCCTGTGCCTTTCCTGCATTATTCTTTGCTCTGCTCTATGCACTCTGTCTCGTACGCTTATCTTGACTTTTATTTTTTTCCTTTACTTCATCTTCTTTAACCTTTATTTTCCTACTTTTCTGTTACCAACATCTTATTTAATTTTATGTCCTTCCTGGACCCATCTCATCGTTTCTCTGCTCCATAGGATCAGTGCCGACTTCCTTTCTGCAATGGAAAAGGGAAATTCCCTGGAGTCATTTTATAAACTCAGTCTGCAGCCTGTGGCATGTATTTACACCCTTCTCATTCCTCCGACCTTTTCCCCTGGTACTTTGGAGTAGTCGCTTCAAGAATCAGAGAGGGAATTCCTCCTGGTGCCCTGCAGACTCCCATGCTCCATTCCACACTTGCTGTCCATTTCACCACTTTACTGATGCCCAGGATTCTGACATTGATCTTGCAGTAACCAAGGGTTGTCTGTGGTTTCTAATGTGGACATTTAACCTGGGCTTTTGGGGGTTACAGCAGAACACAGCAGCTGAGGACAATTTCCATCTTTGCCCCTGGCTGACTGTAGGCAATTCCTTCCCCATCATCCTGTTTGTTGGCTTAGCCACACAGAAATCCATTTTCCTCTCTCCTTCCTCAATCATGGAATGGTTTGGGTTGGAAGGGACCTTTAGAGGTCGTGTAGGCAATCCCCCACAATGAGCTGGGACATTTTCTGTAAGAGCAGGTTGCTCAGTCACAGGTATTTCTGATCTGCTCAGAGATGTCACAGGGAGTGGAGACCATGCTGTGCCCAAACATGGGTAAATCCCTCCTCTAGGAAGTTCATCCACGTGGGGCTGGGCAATTAGGAAGTCTGAAGGACCTTACATAAAATGGGATTTACAGGCAGATGGGAGGGGGCTGTGCTTCCCCTGGGATGCTGTCTGTAAGCCCATTGTGGATCAAGGAGCTGGTGATCCAGACGTCAGTGAGCCTGAGCATGGCCAGGACTGTGCTGTGCTGTTCTGCCCTGTGCCGTGAGGACAGGCTGGCCTTCAGAGCCGGGCTGTGATGCACAAACCCCGTGTCCATCAGCTCAGCCTGCTCTAAGGAGAGGCGTGCAGCTCCTGCTGGGAGGAGAGGACGAGCCATCTGTGTGTCCTTGGCTGTGTCTCACCATGCAGCAAGGAGGTCTCATGGGTGCATCCTTTCTGTTCCAAAGCAGAAATGGTTAATAGAGCTCTTTTGCTGTGAGAAACACCCTCCTGTAATCCCCTGAATGCCCGCACCATGGGTGGGATGGCCGGGATGCTGCGTGTGGATGCTGCTCTGCTGGGGGTTCTCAGCATCTGAAGGGGCAGGATTTTGTCTCTGCTGCTCCCATCTTGCAGTGTTCGCTCTAACAAATAGCATTTGATACCTCACCAGGTCTGAGCGCCTTTTTATCGGGATTGTGATGAACCAGCACCACCCAGTGCAAAAGAGGAGTTAGGACACAAAGCCCAAGCCCAGTGGGGGAGTAAGAAGATCATGAGCTCAGATCGGTGTGAGCCGCTAAGCCTCATCCACAACGAGATTTCTGACAACGTTAACGCACAATTTCCAGCTTCACACTTTCTGCCAGGCTGTCAGCCTCCAGTCGCTAATCAGTTCTGATTATTAAACAAGATATTTCTGCACAGCAGTGCCCGAGTCATCCACGAGGATCCTGGAAAGCTCTGAGAAATGCTTCCTGCTGCAGATGCTGGACATGCTGACTCAGAACAACCCATTTCTGGCTGGATTTAGTGCTGCAAAGTAATATTTACTTTACTGCATAACTATCAGTGGTGGCCTTGGATATAGTGATAATAGCATTGTGAAGTTTCAGATCCTGCTAAAAACACTGAACACAACTAATAGGACAAAACCCCTGGATTTAAGAGGCACTGAACCTTCCACTCCTGAAACTTCCATATGCTCAGAGCCCAGCTGTGGGGGTCTGTGGGGAGCATCCACGGAGAGCACAATCAGCTTATAAGGGCTGGGAGTTATTCAGGAACAGTCCAATCCCTACAAAGGGAGAGGAAGAAAGCAGAGCAAGAGACCACCCTGGCTTAGCAGGGAACTTTTGGATGTGCTTAAACACACACAGAAAAAAAACAAAACAAAAAATATAAACAGAACAAAACAAAAACAAAACAAAACAACAAAAACAAAAAAACCCTGACCACGGGAAGGTGGCCAAATATCAATCAAGGACTACAAGAACCTTGCTGGGGTGTACAAAGTTGCATTTGGCAAGGCTAAGCTTGGCTAAACCTAGGAGGGGTATGAGAACCTTCCCTGTGAACAAAGACTGAAGCAGTTGGGTCTGCTCCTGAAGAAAACTTGTCGAGGACCTCATGGCAGGACTTCAGTACCTAAAGGGCAGCCACAAAGGGGATGGATGCTCTCTTCTCAAAAGGAGTCACATGGAGATGACAAGCAGCAATGGGTACAAGCTGCACCAGGAGAGGTTTTATCTCACTATCACAATGATATTTTTTACAGAAAGAACAATCATTCTGTGGAACAATCTCCTCAAGGATATGGTAGAGTCCCCGTTGATGGAGGCTTTTCAAAACAGAGTAATAGTCCTCATCTAGATTCCCTTTCCCACAAAAGGCTGGACCAGAGGATCTTTCCAGATGCCTTCCAGCCTATGCTGTTGTATGATTTTATGAAGTATTTTAGCTCTTTGTTGGTTACATCAGAGGGAAAATTGGGTAAAAGCAGCACACCTGGCACTTGTGCATGTCCAGTAAAGGCACTCCTGTGAGGCCCCACTCTGCTGGACTTCCCAGGTGTTAAATCCCTGTCATGCAGGGTGGCAGAGTGGTGCTGGTGTGGGTTTTGAGGTTGAAGGGCATTATTTACTTGTATCAATTCAATCTTGGTTCAAAAATACAAAAGCCCCGAATATGCCCGATTAGGTCACTTGGTAAGGGCCAGCAGAAGGGATGATATTTCCCATCCTTGCTGAGCATTTCTGCCATGTGCTACCCAGACACAGCAGTGAGGCAGTTCCAGCTGCTAGAAAAGCAAATCAAGGGAACAGCTCCATTTTCTGCTCCCAGCCCATGCACACACACTGGCACATGGCTGGGCCTGGGAGGGAACACAGCCAGGAGTGGGACTCTGCCTTGCTGCTCCGCAAAATAGCAGAGCCCACAGATTTGTGTCAAACCCCACCTTGAACTTCCCACACAAAGGGTTTTAAATGCCATCAGTGTTTCCTAGAAATGAACTTGAGTGTCTTCAAACCAATCTAGTTTCCTAGGATGGGGGTTTAGAACTGGCTGGGATTTAATGTCCTGCTGTCACCTTCAGTCTTTGCTGGTTGTTTCTGGAAACTATGGCCTTGCAACATGTGCTCTACTTAACCACTTTAAGGTTATTGTAATGTTCAAACTTTCCTGAAAGACAGGTGCCCTTCAAAAGAGATTGTATTTTATTTTATTGTATTTTATTGTATTTTCATTTTTTACTCAGCCTGCTCCCAGTAAAGGGCTGTGCAGGAGCCTTGTCTGCCTGGCTGTGGCTGGGTGAAAACACTTCCAGCTCCCCAGTTTGTGCAGGGCACTGCTCAAGAAGCCATTGGACCAGGAACAGGATCAGAGGGACACACTCCAGGTCTGTGACCAAAAGCTCTGCAGGCAGCAACAGCACAGACTGCCCAAGAAAGTTATTTATTTCCTTTCTGCCCCTGTCCAGAAATCACTCTCCCACGCTGGTAGGCACAGATGTTGAACCAGCTGGTTTCTTAAGGGATAAAATAGCTCAGAATTTGCTGCCCTGAGCTCACAGTTACCAAATCTCACAATCCCCCTCTCTGCCTTATCCATTCCCCAGTCTGGGAAACTTCCCTCCTGGCTCTGAGAAGGAAGAAAAACACACAAGACCTCTGGGCTGCTGGGTTGAAAAGAGCTCTTTGATATCCTAAAGCAAAGGCTGTTATAGGAGTGTATTACACATGGGATTACCAGAGTTTCCAAAACTCTGGGTGCTGCTAGTCATTATGGAAACTATTCCATCTCCATGAAGGCAGGAAAGGCTTCTTACCCCCTTCCCTCCTTTCCCAAAGCATACAGAGAGCTACATTAAAAACAGAGAGAGACAGAGAGAGCTGAGCTTGTTTCAGGGAATAGAGGGAGGTTTCCTCTGACACTCTGGCTGTTAACAGCAAATTATGGAACATTTTGCTCTCAGAAATACACCCAAGCAGAATTCCCAATGCCATGCACACCAGGAAAAACCCAGCTGCCACTAGATCCTCTTAATGTGACTAAAATCTCTCCACATTTGAGGTAAGAGAATAAGTTTATTTTTTGACATTAGACCTCCAGAAAGGGTGGCTACTTGTGCAGTACTTCCCTTGGCACAGCTGTGCCACACGAGCCATCCCATGGTAGCTGTGGCTCTGGATTCTTCATTCACAGTGTGCAAGGGCAGTGTTGGAGAAGGAGGTCCCCTTCCTGCCGCCACAGATGCAGTCTGGTAGCTGCTGGTAAATAAAAATGAGTCCTTTAATTTCATATTAAGGTATCCGTGAAAATCAAATGTTTATGCTTAGTAGTCACACAATGTTCTTTTTTGCTGTTAAAAAAAAAGACTCTGGAAGGGGAAAATAAAAAGTGTAAGATTAATAAATGTCACATTTTGGGTAAGCATTTTTCCCTGTTAAATGGCAATTCCATAATATTTTTCCTTTAGTAAGGCTGTTTGTCAAGCAGTATGAGATGTAATAGCTCTCATGCTGAAAGAAGCAGTCAAAGAGTTATTTTTTATATCATTTCTAGTGCAGAGAAAATGTGAAGAACAGAGGGTGCAAGAAGATCAGCACTTTCTGTTGAACAATGAATCAGAAGGGGTTTTGTTTTTATTTTGGACATGTCCCTTTCTAGAGTGTTGTAGTATGTGTGCTGGCACCTGTGTTCTCTGGAGTAGCCACTGGATTTTAAAACAAATTTTGTTTGGAATTAGTTCTGTCTTAAGTTTCATAACTATAGCCTTATGCTTACTGGATGTGCTGGTTTTGGCTGGGCAGAGTAAGTTTTCCTTCAGTGGCTGGTAGGAGGCAGTATTTTGGATTTGTGCTGAATGCACAATGATATAGACATTAGTAATGGTGTTGATAACACAGAGATGTTTTTGTTGTTGCTGAGCAGAGCCAAGGCCTTCTCTGCTTCTTGTTCTGCCTCACTGGGAGGGAGCTGGGGCTGCCTGGCAGAATGGGAAGGGACACAGCCAGGACAGGTGACCCAAACTGGCCACAGGGATATTCCAGACCATGGGCATCAGGCTTAGGATACAAAGTGGAGGGAAAGAGGAAGAGGGGGAGATGTTTGGAGTGATGGTGTTCATCTTCCCAAGTAACCATTCCATGTGATGGGACCCTGCTTTCCTGAGAAGGGTGAACACCTGCCTGCCCATGGGAAGCAGTGAATTAATTCCTTGTTTAGCTTTTCTTTTATGCATGGCTTTTACAAAACAACAGCACAACAAACCCAGCAAGCCCTTTTGCTGTTTCACTGTACCTTGTATGATAAACACTGTCTGTGTCTTTTCCATTCCACCTCTATCAGGTGTGTGTTATCAGCTGCTAATGGCTTCAAGGTGTCAGAGAGGTAGATGAGAAATGTGACAATGTGTCCAATTAGCTTAGATGTGTCCAATTACCTAATTGGAAAGAGGTTAAAGACCTGGAACAGCCTTTCTAGCAGGAGGTAGTCATGCCCTGTGCCTGGCAGTGTTTAGGTGGATTTTGGACAATACTCTTTAAGAACACCTTTAATTTTTGGCCAGCCCTGAAGTTGGGCTAGATGATTTTTGTAGGTCTCTTCCAAATGGAATCACTCAATTCTTTTCACACCTTCTCTTGTGGCTGTGGCAGTGAACTGGAGCGCAGAGGGAGAGTTGGATCCGGGGGACATCTGCTGCATTAGTTTATTTGTGTTATGAATGGTGGGCATTAGAGATCATGGAGCAGAAAATAAATGCAGTTTTGTAATGAAATCTCTGTTTCAGAAAAACTCTGCTACCTGTATGCAAGGCAAAACCCCCTGACATTTCTGTAGTGCAGAACAGAAGTGTGAAAACAAAAAGCAAGTGGGTGGTTATGGATTTGCCTGGTGTTGTAGTAATGATCCTCGGCTGGGCTTGAGGCTGAAGAGTTAAATTTCTCTCTTTCATCCCATTTCTCTACTCTGTAAGAATGCTCTAATTTCCTGCATCCAGTCTATGAACTGCAGTGTCTTAGTGATGTGTGGTGAGTTGCTCCCTAGTTAAAATGCAGGTAGATATTCTTATAAAGTCACTTAATTAGGAACTTATACATTCTTATTGACTCGCTAATAAGGTAGTTTCCTTTTCCAGACACAAACGACAGCAACCTATTATCTAGAACCAAGTACTACTGAATGATCAAATTTGGAAATCTACTTCTTTTTTATTGGACAATCATCCACTTTAATATATATACATATTTAAAGTCTGTACATGGTAAAATACAAAATAAAAGTGTTTCTTTATAAGTTACACAATTAAACAGCTGCATTTGCTTGTAGTTTAGCTGTCATTTAATTAAAAAAAGAAAGAGAGAATCATTGTTGAGCCATTGTTATATCCATTGACAATAACCTTGGTATAAAACACCCATACAGAGTAAGTGTACAAAATAGTGTACAGTTCATATAAGCTGTGCAAAGACAGCAAAGTTCAGTTAAAAATCAAAGAGATGTATCCACTTTCCTCTGTCCACACCATGGATAGGAGAAGCAAAGTGGAAAATAAGCACAAACTTGTGGGTAAGAAGGTGCTTTGAACACAATATTGATGAATAAATTAAGATGAAAATTATAAATATATAAGATCTCCATTACACAGGACATGTTTGCATTATACTTTCAAAGTCATTCCAGGGATTTCAATGGATCTGTTGCACAAGCATGGTGCCATTTGGGGTGAGGAGGGAGGCAGAGCATGGTCTGGGTCCCTCAAGGTTATTTATTTTAGAGGAAAGGGTTGTTAGATCAGACAAGTCTACAGTAGCAGTTGAAGTAATACAGTAGCTGGAAATTCACTTGAAAGGTAATAGAAATGGTCATGTCATCTATATTGTATTTTTGATTTTTTTTTTTTTTTTTTAATCTGGGGGAAGAAGTTTCCTTTCCTACAGGGAAATTTCCCTTTCCTCCCTCCTGTAGAGCCAGGAGCTGCCTATGGTCTGTTTTTTGGGAGAAACTAGCTAATTGAGCAAATATTGATTGCTAAGCAGAGAGAGTTATGAAAAGTTGGGCAGATATTATGAACATGAAAACCTCCACATGGGGCAACAAATGAGGAATGCCAGTGAGAAGGAAGTCTTAGAGTGTGGTAAAGAACCTGCACTGAAGAAACGTGTGGACATTGGCGTGGGACAGCACCTCTTCAATTTATAGCACTCTGGTTTATTTACATCTTTGCAGTGTCCTGTGATGGTGGGGGCAGGCAAGTGGTCTAAGAGACTGTTATCTCCTCTTCTTCTTCCCCTTCATCATCCTCTTCCTCTGAGTCTGAGAAGTCTGAAGGTTTGCTGGGGCTGCTGGAATGGGAGGGAGAAGGAGACATCTGGGAGTCCAGTCTGTCCCTCAGGTGTAGATGCTCTGGGGACTGGTGGTAGGTCAGGGGATGCCGGGGGCTGGGTGGGCACACGGGGGGAACTTCCTCCTCCTCTTCCTCTCCTGAACATTTCTTGCCTACGTCACTGAGGTCTGGGTGAGGGTTGAACTTGGTGGGTAGGGTCTGTTCTCTGCAGCCACCAGAAGAGAGGAGCTCTCTTTCTTTAGAGTTCCTCCATTTCATCCTCCTGTTCTGGAACCAGATCTTCACCTAGGGTACAAAGCAACAAAGGAGTGTAAGGGCTCAGTAAAACAGGGGCCAGAAAAGGTGTTTTGGCTGCACTCTCAAAACCCTGCACATGCACTAAAGCTAACAAGATCTTTGGAGGACCCTAGGAGCGAGCTCAGGGGCAATCAGGCTGTGGTCCTACTCACCCAGCTGGGAATCGTGACCTTTTTGGCTCTGTTGATCACCTGTAACTTGCTTTGGGTGTTCTCCCCGCTCAAATCCCCTTCTCCCCTGCTTCTCTCAAGCTGCCCCCGGGGGGTGGGGGATCTTGGCTCCCCACGCACCCTCTACCCTCCCTCCACCTGGCGCCCCTCTCACCTGTGAGTCCTTGAGGCCCAGCTTGGCCGCCAGCTTCTTCCTGTCGGGTTTGCTGATGTATTTCTGCTTCTGGAACATCTTCTCCAGCGCCTTGCGCTGCACGTCGGAGAAGACGGCGCGACGCAGCATCCCCCGGCGGGGCTTGCCCCGGGCAGCCAGCGGCCAGGAGAAGGTGCCAGGGATGGGGACCACGGCGGAGGCAGCTGTGGGAGGGACACAGGGCGCTGAGCACAGCGGGACCGGCCCCCACCATCCCTC